TGACCACATGCAATGCACTTTGAGATTGAGATTGCTAGTTCTCAGTGTATAGCTGCCATTAGTAAGGATGTTTAAGTGTCTTAGGAAGGATCTGAGTATTTAGTAGAGCTCGGGCTCACACACAATTATTTGTGTGTGTATGCAGTTAATGTGTTGACTGTCACAGAATTAGTAGAAAGCTTGCCTCACGAATGGTTTAATTCAGATTCCAATGGGACTTGTAAAATTGGTGCACCCATGAAGTTCACTTTATTTTACTTTAATTGAGATATTTAAATTACTTTTTTATTATTATTTATTAATTATCTGTTTAAAAAAAAAATCGTGATGGAATTTGAGTAAGGGTTCTGATGAGTGAACCTTTCCTGCAGTAGCTGCGTAGCAAACACACCTACCCACTGCCGACCACACAGAAGCCATCTGACTCATTCACACTTTGTTCTGTGCTTGATGAGCTTTGGAAAACACTTTGGGACTGCCTCAAGGGCTTTCCAGTCAAAAGCTGCGAGTTTGGCACGCAGTGAAACGAGGCTAAGCACCCTGCTGTGGCCTTTCATCTCACAGCTTACATTATTGAGGAAGCTGGTGGTGTTTTTGTGAGGATATGATACAAAGATACCACTCCAAGGCAACATGGGAAGACCTTTGTAACAGTGGTGTACTTTCAAGCCCTCTTGGCTCCTTTTTGCATACCGGAACTTGCATTTACCCAAGTAGTACTTGAGCATAACGACAATTAATGTCCCCTTCAGAGTGATGCTTCCTAGTGTCTATAGTTTAGACCATAAAGGCCATTAGCAGCCAGCATGACGACCAACCAGCCAGTCAGTGCAGCCAGGCACTCGCAGAGCTCTTACACCACTACCAGGAAATTGGAGAACTTGTGACAAAGCAGATTGCCCTGATGGCAGGGTATCATGGGATACAGTTGCTATTCCAGCCGCTAAAAGCTACTACCTCACACACAGAAAGAGGGAAGTTCCAAACTAGAGGTGAGGGGTCAGGAGGGTTTTTGAGAAATGTGAAATCCATTTAGATAACCAGAGTTTCTGGTTAGTGTTGCCAGGTAGCTATTCATGAAAATGTAACTTAATTTAGAAACAATGAGGAGCTGGGAGCTCTGTCACAGGGATGCATTGAGTTCTGTTATATGATCAGTTGTACACTTGTTTCTGGAATCTGTGGACTTATTTGTACATCAGTGTACAGGTTTGAACCCTGTCTCACAATATCCTGTTACAAACCTCTTCTGATGGTGAAGGGTGACAAAATGAAAGCATGTTGCAGTAGAAATGGTTAACAGAGCTCTGGGAGGAAGTGCTGATTCACCTGTTGGACTAGTTATTGAGAGGCGTAGGAATGTACAGTCCATTGTTATTGATGTGCTAACAACTTTCCTAACGAAGCATATCAGCTGACGTTGTTTCTCACCCTCACATACTAGTAATACTTTTACACCACTCACTTCACTGTTTGTGCCGCACGTTTTCTCACATCACATCCACACACACCTCTCAGCACGGCGTCACGCACATCCTCTCCTGTGTTTCACCTTGCTGGTAGCACCTGCATTGCTGTTGAACAGATGCCACATTGCTCCCTTCTCTCCTCCCCCCCGCAACCTGCCTCACTCTCTTCTTCCTCTCTCTCCCTCTCTCCCTCCCTCCCTCCTTCTCTCTGCAGTATTCATCCATTCTCAGGGCGCAAAGCTCTGGCTAACCTTTTTCATCGACCTGCTGCTCTTCCCTCGGGTGCACACACTGTCTTTTAATAAACCAAGCAGCAGTACATGCATGTTACATGTCCATTAAAGCACAAAGCTATTCAATACTGACTAAAGGCAAACCTAGTCAAGAATTCACATAAGAAGCAGGTTGTAAACAAAACCACCAAGTTATTCAAACTGATTTGGAAGGGAAAATGAAGGCAACCAGTAAAATGATTTACTTTTAGAATGATATTTCAGGTTTAGCTGAAAATAAAGTGATCTAGATAATCTGGGGTTGTCACTTGTCTGAGCACAATTTTACCAAAACTACAACAGCCTATGTAAGTGGCCTACGCCGCTGTGAGCATTCATATTTGTGTGCTGCTATGTCGCATCACTCTGCAATTACACTGCCAAAATGCTAGTTGGTAGGATTTCTGTGGCCACTGTGTTGAGTTTCTCCATGTACTTCAAACTGTGGTGACTGAATCTGGACAGATCGTGGGTTGGGTTGGTTTCTATCCGGAAGTCTTTGTAATGTGGTAGAAGAGTTGTACAAATGTACATATGTATGGGCTTCCTCAGGTAACCTCTCCTCAATTTGGTCCATGTACGCTCAACTCACGTTCAAGGAGCAGCCGGAAAAGCATAGGAGGAAACACGATGCTACCAAGTGGACCAGTCAAAGTTGTTGCGGTACACAACTCACAAACAAAAATGTCAGTGTTTTAGTTGTGGTCATAAATGACATGGATGCTTGTAAAGCATATCAGGCTCTGCTGTCTCCCCTCTGGCCCAAACCCGCAGCCCGGTGATAATCCTCAACACAGGGCAGTCAAAGAAGGGACAAGAGGGGAGTGAGGGAGGAGAGAAGGAGGCAGAGAGATGAAAGTGGGGATATGGATGGCAAAGATGAAGTAAAGTAGGGGAAGGCACACACAAAAATGGTGACTCACCCTCTATGTACTGCTATACTCTCATCCCTGTGCTGAGTGCAGTCTTACCAATGAATCACCTCCATTCTCCAGTGGCGGAGGAATGGGTTTTCCATTAGCACTAACTTCCAGCCTCACTCATCCTCCTCTCTTCCTCCATCATCTCCCTTCGTTTATCTGCTGTCAACTGCTCTCCCTTGAAGCCCAATCCTCAAGAGACCTGTGCTCTCAGTCACCTCCATAGTCTATCTCATCCCCTCACCTTTTTTACCTCAGTATCTCTCCTGCCATGTGAAAATAAGATGATACCCTGCCATGACTTTGAAATGTGGCCACCTTTTTTTCTTTCTGCCATGGTCTTTGTTGAGTCTGCAAGATAAGATAAGTAGATACTGGTGACTGCTACTTTGTTTACTCCCCCCTTTGAAGCTAAATGATCTGCTTTCAGCTGTCACTTACAGCAGTGCCCAGTGCAGGCTCCGAATACTGCCCAGGATATGTTACATTCACTCTCTTAGAGCTTAAAAGACACAGTTAAGTTTTAGTTTCCATTTAACCTTGTTTGCTATCAGAACACATCTAAGGTGTGTTTCAGATGAGAAATTAGCTACTGTGTCGGGGCTTTTTTCTTTTTAAAAACCGACTGTACCTCACTCTTAAACAATAATGGTGACAAAGCAGGTGCCCCTCCTGCTTGGGTAAACACTATGGAAAAAAGGCATATGCATGTAAATAAAATAAAAAAATAAATACATTTTTGGACTTTGCCATGAAACATTCACCTTCCCCACTTTTACTTTTTATCTTTCGGCATCATTATGAGGTCAGAATTACAGTGCAGTGCAGTACTTTGAACCTGCAACACTAATGACCCCTTAGTCTCAGCTGTACTTTGTTTTTAGTGCCAGTTAGAACAATACTAGCATGCTAACATGTTGAAGGAATAGTTTGACATTTTCCTTTTTGCCTTCTTGAGGAGTCACAGCAGACGAGAAGCTCAGTATCGCTCAAATCTGCCCTGTAACAGCCATTTTGGCACTGTCATTGCAGGGTTGCATGCTGACATTAGCATTTAGCTCAAGTATAGCCTCATAAAGCTGCTGGCATGCCTGTAGGCTTTGGCTTTGTTCTTTGTTTGTTTTATGGCATTTTTTATTAATATTGTAAAGAATTTAACTTTCTGCCCTGCTGTATATGAGTAAAGATTATGGCCTCTCCTCTCGCTTTAGTTCTGTGATACCCTGCCCCCCTCCTCAAGCAAAAATCAAATCTAATTCATTAACGTTTATTTGTCCCCCAGGGCCAATGGAGAGCACTGGGCTCTGGTACAGCAGACAGCAACACAAAGACAGATTAATAACATGGGCCGCGTCACTAACAGTCATGCATGCACACTCACACACCCCTATTGTAGAAATAGATTTTCCTGGCCTGTGCTGATCAGTGTGAACGTCGCTGTGGCAGCATGGTGTTAAGCTGATTGCTTGCAGGTCCTCAGCCTGCATTATTAACCAGCTCAATGCATGCTGGAGGCCATATTGGACACACAGTGCACGCTCATATTGCACTTGCCCTATTTACAGTAGCTTCCTAACAAACTAATTAGACCATATAGTATCTTCCAGCGGTCTCCTCTGAAGGTCTTCCCTGAACTATTTGTGCTCTGTCAGCTCCCCTAATGCTTACTCCCGCTGTAACCACATGCTACCACACACACTTGCAACCTATAAGTCAGCTGATAGTTGACCTTTTCTTAAACTGCTCTGAGGCCTTAGCTGTAACAGACTGAAAGTCACATGGCCTTCTCTTTCTATAGGCCTGTATCACACTCCCACTGCTGGAGAAGACTCATTAGACACCAGCTGACAAATGCTCTGGAGCCAGAAGTGCATTGTCACAAGTTTTCAAGACATTTCTCACAGTTTTTGTGCAAGTTAATGTACATCTCTCCCACCTCCTTTCTTTTCCTGCCCCCACCCATTAAATCTAAGCAATCTGTGTCTGACCACAGCATTAGTTTTGAGGTCAGCTGTGACCATGGTGGCAGTTTTCTCTGACTTTGGATACATGCATGTCCTATTTGTACTTGGACATGGAATATAAGACTAATCTACCAATTTGCCTCACTCTGCTATTTTGTGTGTGTGCGTGTGTGTGTGTGTGTGTGTGTGTGCGCGTGTGTGTGTGTGTGTGCGCGTGCGCGTGTTGCAGACCTCTCATTGCCAGCAGCAATGTGAAACTAAATATAGTCCAAATGAAACTGACCTCAAAAGCAAGTATCCTAGAACGATGTTGTAATTAAAACTACATTTGTAGTTTTCAGTTTCTGTGTCTAAACCGTGTGTTTTCGTTGTCAGGAATATGAAACAAAGAGTGGCAGAGCTGGACCTGGCAACCCGACATCTCCCAGGCAGAGCGTGAGGAAAAACCTGGACTTTGAACCCCTCTCCACCACTGCACTTATACTGGAGGACAGACCTGCGTATGTAAACACAGAGACACACACACACACACACACACACAGACACACAATGTTGTTGGACTATCCCACATTTTTCATTCTCCTTTACTGCCAGTGGAGTTCAGACAATAAAGCGTCGGCTGTTGTCCTTCTATCTCCATCTTCCCCTCATTCCTTCTGTATCAGTCCTCCTTCCTCTGCTGAGTCTTAAGGCTCTATTCAGTATTGTTCCAGCTCTCTCTGTGTGCCTGTTTGTACCACAGACATTGAAAGAGAAGTGCTGCTGAAAGTTTAATGGCCCTCCCTCAGCCTGGTTCCATTACCCTGCTTTTTTAGCATTTTACATTTTGTTAACATACAAACAGACAGACAAACAGACGGACATATGCTGGGCCTTCTGTTTCATTCAGTAGTGCTGCTCAGCTGCAAGATTAGCACTTCTGCTGGGGTACGCAGCAAATAAAAACAATAGCATGATTTCACTAGATTTGCTGTGTGAACACAAGGAAGTTTATTCTGACATCATGACTGGCAAAACTGAGTTTTGCTGCTGCTCAGGTCTTTTGATGAATGCAACCTCCCTCTTTTCCCTCTTCACCGTCTCCCCCTACTGGTAGAAATAATCTAGAAAAGTGCAGATGGTGTTAAAGTTTCAGTGTTATTGGCTGGGAGAAGAGTATCGTATTTTGTTTTAGTATGCATTTGAAAAGAAGACAAGCACTGGAATCAAATGTGATTGATACATGGTAAGTATTCAACTCTTGAGATTCAGCAGAAAACACTCATCACCCTAAAATCACATTAACCTCTACTGATGAAACCCAATAAAACATTAACTTGCTATCACCTAAATTTACAGAATGAGCATGCTATAAAATGACAATATCTTACCTCTAGGTCCACTTACTATCTTTTTCTGGAGCTCTCAACCACATCACAGGGTTGATTGGCAGATACAGAACACTTAGATGTGGTTGAAAGCTCCAGAAAAAAACAGTAAATGCACCTTGAGTTAATTGTTTTTTCACACTATTTGCATTTAACAAATGCATCGTGCTCCAATGTCAGTTTTGTAGCCGTTCTGGAGCTTTCAGTCATATGACATGATCTTCATCAGCAGAAATTGTTCTGAGCAAAGTCATGGAAAGGCTCCTGACCGTTCCTCTGTCTGTGTAGGTTTTCCTCTCTTTGCACCACACTAGCCTGCTCCACATGAATAATGCATGGTAAGCTCAGAGAACATGCAGTCGCTAACCCATTTCCTATCTGTTGATGTTCCAGTAATCTGCCTGCCAAGCCAGCCGAGGAGGCACAGAAGCACAGACAGCAGTATGAAGAGATGGTGGCCCAGGCTAAGAAGAGAGGTGAGGTCAATTGACAAAGCAATGGAGGCTCCCTTACTATCTTCTTTCAGAGCTTTCAACCGCACAAAGTAAGGTCCTCTCTGGTAGTAATGTATTTTGATCCCTCCTACCTTTTAGTAAACACGTGCAATTTAGTTTTCCTCCACTTTTCCTCTATCCATCTCTGTCTCTCTTCAGACTGGTTTCTTCTATTAACCACCATATCTAACCACCTCTCTCCACACTCTTGTCCGCAGAGTTGAAGGAGGCTCAGAAGAGAAAGAAGCAGCTGGAAGATCGGTGTAAGCTCGAGGAGAGCATCGGCACAGCCGCCCAGACCTGGAACCAGGAGATCTTGCCTAACTGGAGTACAATGTGAGTACAAACAAAGACTGAGTTTAGAATATTATATAATAATAATAATAATACAATATTTACAGAAATCATCCATATCTTATAAAAACATCATCATTCCTGTCAATTACCCCATTATCAGTTACTTTGTGTTAGAAATGGCCAGAGCCAGATTCACTGGCAGGCACCAGCCCACACTTATGAACTTATGACCAGCACTAAAATAATCTTTGCAAACATGATTATTTTTAGTGACAGTTTTTTTTAAAACCTACACCATATATAATATATAGTAATATATGTTGGCATACAGTTAAATGGCCAGGCCCATAGTTTAATACATGTATGTATAATGCGTTGCCCCGAGCATAAAAATGATTACACAGTCAATGTATATCTCATTCAGCCATTAAGTCAGCTGTAAAATGATGATATTGCAACCTTGATGCCTACATGGCGAATACTAATTCAGGGTGTCTGCAGGGCCTTAAAAACTCTAAAATCCTATAATAATTAGAATGTTAGGCCTTAAAATATGATTTTGACAGGTCTTAAAAATTTATTGGATTATTAAATGAATACCTCTTGTATAAAGTTATGTTTCAGTCAGTCAGTATTGATCATAAATTTTTGGCAGTATGGAGGTAAAATGGGTCTTAAAGTCTTAAATTGAACCTGTAGAAACCTTGTTATTGTCTGTCTGCTTTCCATTCTGTCCATCAAATCATCATCACAGCAGTTGACCAGTTTTGGCATTTATTGTGATGTTCCTGTTGGCTCCATATTGGGAGCATATAGTGAACAGCTGCTGTCGAGCAGCACTGCAGGGAGAAAATACAAAGCAATCATATGCAGACATAATGATTGGTTATGAGATTAACAAAACACAACCTGTTTTACCAGCAGAACTGCCTCTCATTCATGCCAGGATGTTGATTTGAATTAATATCACTGTCAGTGCCTCCGTTCTCCTAATCATACTTTCCTACTCATATTCTTACTCCTTCTTCTCCACAACTATACACATTGAGAACTATGAATTAGAGGGGAGACATTGTGAAATATGGGGTAATAATATACGAGGAGTAAAAAACATCAGTTTTACGCTAAAGGAAAGTCATTTACATCGATAAATGATTTCCTCCATGAAAGACAATTATTAAGCAACCTCTGATGTCTTAAACTTCCTTTCCACATTTACCCCTCCTGCAGGTGCACATCTCGACGAGTGAGGGACCTCTGGTGGCAGGGCATCCCGCCCAGTGTCAGAGGCAAAGTGTGGAGCCTGGCTGTGGGAAACGAGCTCAACATCACACATGGTACGTCTGTCTGTGTCTGTGTCTGTGTGTGTGTCTGTGTCTGTGTCTGTGTCTGTGTCTGTGTGTGTCTGTGTGTGTCTGTGTGTCTGTATCTGTGTCTGTCTGTGTGTGTCTGTGTTAATGATGAGAAGAGAACAAGCCTCATGCGGTCTGTTTCTGAAGCTACATGAGCCTGTGATTGTCATGTCTTGATTTTTCACCTGACTGCTCTTTGTTCATCACTTAAAAACCCATCAGTATGGCCTTTTGGTTCATTCTGCAGGATAGCTCAGTCCACACACAGACAGACACACACGCATGTAGCAATTTGTCTCAGTGTTTGTAATTTAATAAGTGGCAGTGAGATAGATAAAAGAGGAAGGCAGAGTGTGTCCATTAAGAAAGAGCATGGTCCAATCATTCCCCCAGTACAAGAGGGAAGGAGCAGCATTTCAATGAGGTCTCGAGTCTGGATGGAGATTATATATATATATATATATATATATATATATATATATACACACACACACACACACACACACACACACACACACACACACACACACACTGCAAATTCATTCTCCACTTGCTAAGGGAGCACCAACTTAGAAAGAGAAAGCTCCTCAGCTCCCTCAGGGCTACTTGCAGATAAGCACTCGCTCGCTGACTGCTGAGCTGGCCCACTCTGCTTTGTACTACTCAGCCTTTTAAATGGAGCACAGTCCTATGCATTATCACTATGCATGTACGCACACACGCACACTCACACACACACAAACACACACAACACACACACACACACACACACACACACACACACACACACACACACACACACACACACACAAAAAGCTCAGTCCCCCTCAAAGTTGGCAGTCTTTTAGAAGCAGCAGCTCAGTGACATCATAATCCCCATTTTGAGTGAAGTTGTTTTATTACTGCTGCTAATGCTATGCATTTCTTCCACTGGTACATTTTCTACTTCTAGAGGTACTTAAGTTACTACTGCTAGTACTTACATTATTGTTACACTACTACCAACTACCACTTCTAATGATAATGAAAGCTGAACTCTTGCATCCTGAGTCGATTCAGAACCAGGTCTTGATTCAAAAGGCGCTAGTTTCATGGTCCAAATTTTTGTTTAAAAGGTTCAACCTACTACAACCGTAGAAACGGCTTTTGTCCACAGAAACCACCAGAATCGACACAAAACGACACAAATGTAGGAGCTTTAACATCATTAATTTGGAAGCATGTAACAGTCTCCTGCCTGTGTGAGAACAATGAGAACAATGAAATAAATGTACTTTACTGGTCAACACCGCTGGCTAAATGTCTTTTAAAAAAAACAGAAGTTTAAGTATGTGTTCTGCAGTAAGAGGAGTGGAGGGAGAGATGTGAGGCAAAGACATGGGTGCATGCAAACAACAGGAAGTTAGTTATTGTAGTTGGACCTGCTGACTCTGCTGATTATTAACACAGGCAGCAGTTGCAGCTGCAGCAGTTGCTGTAACACACAGCTAATGGAGGCTATTAAGCTACTTTAAAAGGGTTAGCCGCTGATCATCACAATTATCTTCAAACTAAGTGTAATTGTAGTCAAATCTGAACACATAGACAACATACACATATATTCAGATTCAGAGTGAGGATAGCATTATCTCCGATGTCAACCGCATAAATGTCCATAAGAAAGAATAAAGGAAAAAAAAGAGGCTGCTTATGACTCCAGACCTGCCTGAGAATCATCACTATCGCTAATAGCTAATTCAGTATACTTTTAATGGTGCAATTTTTCCAAAATGTGAACAAATATAGGCTAAAACAAACAGGGCCCAAGCTGTAGCCCACAGCTAACCCACTCAATCCAAACAAAGACAAATGATTGGTACTTCTGTTCAAAAACTTACAGCAAAATTATCATCCAAATAAAAGTAAGACAAATTATGATAGAAGTGATTATTCTTCGTTCAGTCAACATGATGTTATTAACAACCTATTAATCTATTTTTTGCAATCTGCGAATCAAAAGCCCTCCTGAAACACATTGTTGGCTCATTAGAAGAAGTCTGAAATGTTGTTGTTAATATATTTAAGATATCTTTTGATCTTTTAGTTTTTTTTACAGACTTGTATTTGCACTAGACTGCCGTTCTCATCTCAGCTGATTGCAAGCCTGTTCAGCAGCACGCTTTGTAGTCAGTATTAATCTGCTGGTGTTGGTACTGCACAAGGTCAGGGCCACCAGTGCAGAGCTCCGTGTCACATCTCAGAGAGGTTCATTATTTCGATCCAGCATCTCATCACTAGAGGGCAGCCACAGGTCAAGGCGCAGGCTGGGAAGGTTCAGTGTGCTGCAACAAAATAAATGTGTTCTGAAAATGGAGCTAGATCTGTTTCCTTTAATCACCTTTCATGTTACTGCTGCAGAGAAATGTGAAGAGCAGAATCCTTTTATCACCTGAAGTGGTTTCTGTCCAGTCATCATGTTCTCTGCTCAGTGTCTTTAGCCTCTGCCTTACCTCTCTTTCTCATATTGACTGTGCCGTGGTGCTGTTCTGTGTCCCTGCAGAGCTGTACAGCATCTGCCTGTCCCGGGCAAAAGAGAAATGGAGGACCACGGCAGCACCGGCCCCAGAGCCTGAAACTGAAGGTAGAGACAGAATGGAAAATGTTTCCTATAATGTTGGTCATATTAACTCACACACTAATATGACTACTGGAGTGTAGGACTAGATACTAGGGTAGGTACTGCTCATGTTTTAAGATTTTCTTTATGTTTGTCCATGTCTTCCAGATGCTGGCTCGTCAGATCGGGAGTCGAGTCTGGAGCTGATCAAGCTGGACATCTCAAGAACTTTCCCCCACCTGTGTATCTTCCAGCAGGTCAGTGAGAGAAGCTCAGCCACCCCATACAACACTGATGTTTTAAATTGCACAACAAAAGTGAAATAAAGTTTGAATTCTCATTCACTCTGACATTATTGTATCAAAGTAAATCTAACATGGACATTTCTGGGGACTGGTGAGTGTATTTTTGGCCTCTGTGTTCCATTGTCGTCATTATTTCTTTGTTCATCATCAGGGCGGGCCATATCATGATGTGCTGCACAGCATTCTGGGAGCATACACTTGTTACCGGCCAGACGTTGGCTACGTAAGTCATACACACAAAAACACAGCATTACACTGTGTTGTGATACTTTTTTACATTACTCAGAGATATTTTACATACATTTTTTTTTATACTGCTGCTTTAAGAACACAGTTCCTGCCTCACATCTAAAATCTAAAAACCTTCATCACAGATCGGAGTCAATAAATTGGTTAAACACTGACTTCAAACCCGTGTTTATGTATATGTGGTATGTTTTTTGCTTCGTGTCAATATTAAATTGGGTAAAAAAAAAAAAATAAAAAAAAAAAAACATAAGACAAAATATTGCACACAGGTAATGGCTCCAGTATCGTATAGGAGTATTATTTGCATATAATGCAGTTTAGAGGTGTCACAGATCTCCCACTCAACACCTACATAGGTTATTTAAGCTACTAATAGACTAAGTTTGATTGCGGTGTGGATGACTGACAGCTTACGGTAATTGATTTCCACTGAGTGTGCGGTTTCTGATAGGAGGAGCTCAGTGGGTAGACGTTATTCTCTGTGCCTGTGTGACTACATTTCCATCCTGAGGCCTCACCGATTATAGGAGAAAAAGGTCCGCAGTCTTTGCCAGAGACGATGCAGATACTCTGCTACCTTTACATTCCGGGTCAATATTTACTGGAACAGCTTATGTCTCTAACGTGGGAAAATTGACTTATGAATTATTATCAGGTAAAATCAAAGGTTTTATCTAAGTAGTAAAATCATGCAGAAAGAACAGTTTCATTTTACTGAACTCTGTGCTGACAGTGTGCAGGGATATGTTTTTGTTTTTTGGGAGCGACTAAATACCACATCAATCATAAATGAGCTGCAAGTAAATCACCTTTATTGTCATTATAGATGATAATAAACAAATCTGAATTATTCTTCATTTATTATTTAAATATAAGGTGTATTTTATGGAAGTTGTTAACAGCCATGCTTGCAATAATTTTTTTTAATGCCATTTTCTTAAGATCATGAGATAAATTATTATTAGAAAACTACATTTGTTTTTTCGGATAACAAAATAAGATGAGATCTTTTCTCAAGATCACAAGATAATTATGGATAGCTCAAAAATGAGTTTCTGGTTGATTTGATCACGCTTCGCTTCAGCCTTCAAGATCACTGTCATGACTGTCAGGGAGGATTCATAACTGAACTTAAAGAGTTGTTACCAGAATGTACATCTGACAGTTCATTTAAGCTCATTTACTGGCAATGTGACACAATGCTGACAAAATATTTCAGGAGACGCTTGAGCGTCAATCAATGACCAGACTTTTTTTTCATGCACACATTGTCCATTATGTTGAACTGATCTCTGATAACCATTATGAGTTATAAGAGGAAACAACCTTTTTTTTTTTTTTGTTGAGATAAAACAATGAACTTGTGATCTCAAGATAACGGCATTAAAAAAAGTAATTGCAAGCACGGCCATTCTCGGCTTTCGTAATTTTGATATTTTCTGTCATATTACAATGTTGTAGCAGCTTGCTGTGGTTGCAGCCAGGTGCAAAATCACCACAGAGGGCAGGGCTCACCTCCCCCCCATATATGCAACATGCAGATTTGATTTGAGCATTGCGGCCTTCTCTAAATTTCACTTCATGTCACTGCTGTAGCACACACTACCCTCCACAGTCATCAATCATAAGATCACCACTAACCTGCCCCGTACAGTACAGTGCCAGGTGGTTTGGGCAAGGCATTTCTGCAGTGTGTAGGTGTGATTTTTCCAGTTAGCAAACCTCCTTACCTTTTCCTTCCATCCTCCTCATGAGTTACTGATCATGTGACTCATCACTTTTCTGTTCACATACTCATTTAAGTTCTGACCCTGCTCTTGATCCTTGTATCTGCTTTGTTATCTTTAAAAACATCTCCTGACACATGATGTATTTTAAAATTAAACCCTGGAGATCGAAGCAGAAACTTGATTGTCAAAAATAATCAGCGCTTTGGACCCGTGTGAAAGTTCTAGTGAGATGGCTGTTCTGTGATGATGTTTGGGCTCTTGCATGGAACTGATGTGCACCCTGCTCTAACTCTTCAGAGCCACATTGTGCTTGTAAATGCTGTGGTTAACCCCCACGCTGTCTATACTTAGTGAAATGACTCTGACTTCCTGCACTGACCCCAACCCATGAGCTGCTACACACACACACACACACACACACACACACACACAGTATGCATTCACCTCTGTGTGCAGGTTTTTATTTATGTTGCTGTTTGCATCTGTGTGTCAGCATTTCATCTTTCCTTCCAGTTTTAATATTTAGCTGAAGCTGAAGCATTTCATTGTAAATTAAAGTTTTAAATAAAAAAACTATTGAAATATTGAGTGCTTTAAATGAGCAACAGGGATTATGTGTTGCAAAATTCACATTTTAGCAGGTGTTAACTTGCTGCCTTGCTTTCAGAGACGGAAGTCAGACTATTCATTTCCTATACATACTTAACACTTACCGTTTTTTTGAAGACCAGTTTGTGAACGGTTTGTTTGTGTGTGTGTGTGTGTGTGTGTGTGTGTGTGTGTGTGTGTGAGTGTGCAGGGCATGTGTGTGTGTGTGTGTGTGTGTGTGTGTGTGTGTGTGTGTGTGTGTGTGTTCAGGTCAGGTTCATCGCAGCAGTGCTGATCCTGAACCTGGACACAGCCGATGCCTTTATAGCTTTTGCCAACCTGCTCAACAAGCCCTGTCAGATGGCCTTCTTCAGAGTCGACCACAGCCTTGTCAGTACACGCACACACAAGTTCTCTGATTTCAGCTTCTCACATGTGAATATTTCCGGGTTTCTTTAGTTCTCTATGACGGTAAACTAAACATCTTTGGGTTGTGGACAAGAGGAGATATTTAAGTCACCTTGGGCTTTGGCTAACATTTTATGGACCAGCATTTTGTGTAATGGATGATGAAAATAATAGTTTGTTTGCAGCCCTAATCCTGTGGATTACTGGAAGAGGTCACACCAAGAATATAACAACCCAAATCGAAATAGTACCCATGGAAAATATTCTAATATTAATATACATTTTAAAAAGGGGTATAAAACATGAATTTGAGGGTCCTGACAGTACATTTATATCTTATAATGATAAATATTATAATAAGTATGTTTATAAGGCTGCAACTAATTATTTTCATTATCGATTCGTTTGTCAGTTGTTTTCTCCATTATTTGTTCTAGTTGCAGCTCTGATATGAATGTCTTTGTTACAAATGCTCATAAACATGCAAAAAAATTTGAGTTGATTTTAGCTTGACCTTTTCAGGCTCCTCTATCTTGAGTTGGGTTGTTGTGAGTTTGACACCATAAGGTGAAGCCCTGCGGTGGATACAGTGGTGCTGTGTTTTTAATAGCACACCACAGATATCACTAGTCCATTTCTACATATGACTCACTGCCCTACTTATTACTGTTATTGTGTGTGTGTGTATGTTACTCTAAGACCACCTTCTCCTCTCTCTGCAGATGTTGACTTATTTTTCGGCATTTGAAGTGTTCTTTGAAGAAAATCTACCAAAGCTTTTTGCACATTTCAAGAAAAACAGCTTAACCCCTGATATTTATTTAATCGACTGGTGAGTCTTCTACTAATTTCTTCTGCTTAAAAACAAAAACATTAATTGCATTTTCCCCATGCTGTTAATACATGCACTTGCTTTCAACTACAGTTTTAAGTAATGATGTTAAGTACCATAAAAGGTACTTTGAACTACTTGCCATTATGTCACTTTGCAGGGGGCTGTTCTCGGCCGGCAGGCAGAGTACACTTTGTTCTCCATCCTGTTAAAAACGTGTCACATGTCGTAATCAAAACATCACACTTTGCTCACATCGAGTCCCGCACACTTTAGTGTCAGTTCTTAGAAAAAAGCACGGGCTGTTGGTGTGAGCAGGGGTCTGTATCAGTAGCCTCTACCCACGTACTGCGGAACATTCTACATCTCTATTTTTCACTTCAACTCTCACTTACATCACACACACCACACCCAGCTTATAAAGGCAGTGGTCGTTTAGTATAATTCTTATTATGGAGTGTTCAAACCACAAAACAATAACAATGATGGATTGCTCCAACAAGTGACTTTAGTGTTGCTATATTAAAACCCATTAAATAGACAACTTGGTAAATACCTGCACAAATGCTGTGATATGAACTGTAGATGTCAGATGGAGGTCCTTTTGGCTTTTTATGATTTTCTTTCATATCATGACGGGAGAATAATTCTTCACCAAGTCTAATTTTAGCAACAAGACCAACCCACACAACAAAGGTGTTGACCCAATTTGTCAAGCTGCTTACACAACATGAGTGAACAGGATGCCAGTCATCGATGTACAATATTCACTTTCATCACCTAATCGTCATCGCCGTACATTTTCAAGCTTCTCACTGTTTTTCATTACAATTTGATACCATACATTAAACCCATGTAGAGGATATAGTAATGCTAAGTGTATTTAGCAGCTGAAGAGAGTCTGTAGAGACTAAAAACGGAGCTGACTGAGAGTGAGTATTGGACTTCAGTAGTTGGACTTCAGATTCATTAGTTTCCACTGACACAAGTGACCCAAACATTTTATCTGCCAGAATCTAATAGGAGAGGTGTTTATAATAATAATAATAATTAATAATAATAATGCAGTGGCAAATGTATCTCAGAAATCCATGTGTGTGTATATATGTCTATTAATTTCTGTTGGAATGAAATCACTGTGTTAGGTTAAGTGCGCTGTTCCTCTCCCTCCAGGATCTTCACTCTGTACAGTAAGTCGCTGCCGTTGGACCTGGCGTGTCGGGTGTGGGACGTGTTCTGCAGAGACGGCGAGGAGGTCTTGTTTCGCACGGCCCTGGGCGTGCTGCGCCTCTACCAGGACGTCCTCACCTGCATGGACTTCATCCACATGGCCCAGTTCCTCACCCGTTTGCCCGACCTCATCCCCGGCGAGCAGCTCTTCCAGCACATCGCCGCCGTTCACATGACCAGCCGCAACAGGAAGTGGGGGCAGGTAGGATGTCGGAGCTTTGCATTTCAGGGTGTTTGGTTGGTAGTTTCTCACTTAATTTTTATTTATTTTTTTAACTGTATCTCCTTCCGTCTACTCAGGTCCTGCAGGCGTTACAGAAAGATCCGGAGCGAGGCAGCCCGGTGCTGAAGCGCTGAGCTGAGATCAGAGGAAAAACCATCACACACTAACGGACTCAACCAGACAAACTGGACTCTTAGCAGGCTGGAGGGACCTGAGAAACCTTTGTTCAACGTCAACAGGACATATCTGGTTGTAGCCGCTGTGATAAACCTCTTCTCCAGAGCCGTGTCACTGCTCAAACTGGAAACAGGACCCTCTAGGGTCTGTCCGTGATGAGGGAGGGGTGTGAAAAGGAAAATGAGGCCTTATTTATCTCCCTCTGCTCAGAGGCCCAGCAGTGGACTGGAAAGTGTAGCTGGCAGAGGCTGAAGAATGTATCGCACACTCCCACACACATCCACCCACCAGGCTGATTCAGGTCTCCACAGACCAGAGGAACCCACAGAGATACCAGTTACTACTTAAATCCTCCACTTTTAATTCTCTGCTGTCTTTCTAGCTACAGTTCCACTTGTCTTTTCTTTAGATTTGGCAGTTTTTATGACAAAAAGTCTCTCCCAACCTCTAAAGAATATCAGTCAGGGAAAGTAATCCTATGTCCTAGAATGATCCAGAGTCTGATCTGTAAATTACTGTGTTGAAATGCATTAAGTGGAACCTCAGCTAGTGTCTCTGTGTGTCTGGATCTCTTTGTCTCTGCACCTTTTTACTCAAAACTTTAAGTCATTCCTTCACGTTGTCTGAGTTAAATTTTGTCCTTCGACCTGTGTGCTTCTCATTTGTTTCCTGAACCATTCCATGAAGTCAGCTCTTGGAGAGTTTTTTTTTTTTTGGTCCACAAAAATGCACATAACCTGTATGCTGTAGGTTAAACACCTGAAGACAACTTTGGTGTCTCTGAGAGCACCACGTTGTTACGTTTAATGAAGTGTTTTAACCCTCTAAAAAGAGTTCATAAGCTGCCTGTAAAATGCATTTTACAGTATATTTATGTCAATGAAACTGGAGTAAATAATGAGGTCATACATACCGCATCCGACACAAACTTCCCCCCGCACCGAATATGTTTGAGCTACATTTCAGCTTGTTCGTGTTTAGCCTCCTGATGTCTTGGTATGTGTGTGTATTTATTTAATATTTATCAAAAGGACAACGGAACATTAACAGGACATTGTTCCAGTCACATGAAGGGTTGTTGCTGAGCCTCTCTCCACCCAAACTCGTACGCACTCGGTTTCAACAACACGTAAACACAGACAAGAGGTTGTGGCTCTGAAGCATTAATTGTCCACTGGAGGGCAGATTAAGGCTCAGTCATCTGATATCCCCTCGACAACTCCTGATTTTGAACGCAAACACGACAATACCCTGCTTAGGTTGTGCTGCTGTTTTGGTATGTTTATATAGCAGTTGATGGAGGTGAAACCATTCATCAATTCAATTACAAGAAAGAAAATAATTTCATTATATGAATGGGATGTGCTGCTTTCTTTGTCTTATGTGATAGAAAGTTGAATGTGTTTGGGTTTTGAACGGATGGTCGAACAAAACAGAAAGTGACATTGTGATGGGCAGTTGCTCACCAGATTAACAGATTTTGAAAAAAGCGTGTTGTTAAAAGCAAGTATGTTGTGTAGGTGTTCTTATCCAGTGGTTCTCAACCTAGGGTCAGGGGATATTTCGATTTGACTATTATTTAATCCACTAGAAGTTAGCTCAGCAAGAGAATGAATAAGAGTGATTATTCTCTTCGTAGGTTTCACTCTCTTCTCTTTTAATCTGCCACTCTACAGTACAGACAGTTAGGGAATAACTAAATCTTATCAGACAGGGATCCCTGGGACTACTTATCAAATACAGGTCTACGGCCTGATCTGTCTGTCTTTGTACTAAAATGGTGAACAACCAGCTGGACAGATGTTCTTACAGTTTCTCACCACGTTTTGTCTGCTTATAACACAAGCTACAGACCCAGGCTAACACCAGTCCAAGCAAAGCAAAACTTGCGATTCGCAGTGGAATGAAAACAGTTAGCTTGTTTGTTTTTGTTTGGATTTCAGTCATTTCCTGTGCCGTGTGTCTCAGTGGTCACCGTCGGACCGTCAGGTTCAAACGTGTTCTTCCAGGCTTTGTGGCTGCTTCTCTGAGGTTGTCAGACATGTCGGGGCCCTGACGCTACATTCACACTGTGGTAAATGTGTCACTCCATCCTGACCTGTGGTGGGCGGGGCCAGTATTTGCATGAAGTTTTGTTACCGGCATTGTTTTGATGAGTTGACGTAGACTATACTGTGCAAAGTTAAAGTGAAGTATGTTGATCCCACAGTGGAGAGCAACAGTTGGTTAAATGTCTTTTTTGCCATTTTTGCACAGATCTGTTCATGAAATGAAATAAGAGTTGAGAAATGTAGAAATCTCATTGGTTGTTGATGTTGGTGAAGAATTCTCTGTCAACACCCGTGAAACAAAAGAAACCACTAACTGCATTTGTCAGTGTGAACGCAGTAACTGTCCTGTCGCTGGCTGTGAAGCTGCTTCATCCGATGTGTTGTGCTACTGAGTTTGTGTGAGATGGAGCTCACTTCTTTTTGTGCCCTGTTAATATCGGTCACGTCTCTATTTTGTCTCAGTATCTCTTGTCCCCACTGAGGCCACATTACACTTATTAAATGCCTTGAAGAAGAATGGACCACGGCTGAAGTATAACACACAAACAGGAAGCGCCTTTCATCTGTAAATCATCATGTCGGCGGGCCCACAGCTGCTTACAGACAGCGCTGTGTGTGCATTAGCTCAGCAACATGCAGCAGACTTTCTGATCCCTCATCTCGATGCACTCCTTCCCCCGTCACTCCCCCGGTGTGGCGACACACCGCAGGACTGCAATAAAAAGCTTTTTGCACGTTCATGTAAGCCTTTGATTTGTGCCTCTCATCATCACTTTATGTCATCACTCGCAGGTTTAAACGGGTTTTCCATCCTTTGTTTTTTTTATGCTTAAGTAGTGACCAGCTGATTAAACAAGCTGAAGTGTGTGTGTGTGTGTGTGTGTGTGTGTGTTTGTTTTATGTGTGTATGTGTGGTATTTCCGTAATGAGATCTGCTAGTTACTAGTTGTTACATTAGAGGCTGGCCTGTGTATGAATTGACCCAGCTCTACCAACACTACCTGCTGACTGCCCTTCTATCACACTGTATGATCCACAGTGGCCAGAATCAAAATTCAATCAAAGTAAATTTAAATAAAAAGTGTAATATGCTGTTTGACTTGCTGGATGTCTGTATCTTCTTGGGTTCTGTTTGTTTTGCATTGTCTGTTTTTGTTTCTCCTCCAGAGACCCGTGTACTGTAGAGGACTGATGGACATAGATGGAGACAGCAGAGGGTTACCATGCAGCTGTATCTCACTTGAAATGTATATAAACAATGGTTTTATTAAAATAAAGAGCTGTACATATTCAACCAGCAGTGCTTCACTGTCTTTGTTCACATGAACGGAGTCAGAGTCAAAGTGTGTCATGGGGGAAACAATAGTTCCAGCATTTGGCTGCATTTTTTTGACTTTTTATTTCATTAGCTGACCTCTCATGAATCAGTTTTGTGTTGATTCTGCCGGCCCCTGTGGACATTAGTGGTAGTGTTTCTATCACCTTGTTTCATTGATGTCAAGAGGAATCTGACCGACTGACGTTGGCAGGCATTAATACCTATATAGATATACTGATGGTCTTGTTTGTTTATGTAGCTCATATAGATAGGCATCAGTATTAAATTGCGAGAGCCAGTTTAAAAACTCCTTGAAGAACGTACCATTTGCAGCTTTAGGAGATTTTTAGCTTATGCTTTAGCAGCAGTCATGACCACAAGGCCCGGATGTAACACCACCCCTGAGAGGAGTGGAAGACCATGTATGAGGTGAGGTGTAAATACCCTTGATCCATCAGGTTTCATACTTTGCCTGATAACACAGTATTCTATGAGAAGGGACTTGCCATAAAAGCGGCTAATGGAAGAATGCAGGGCGTATTTTCACTTGAATATCTTTTTGGCTTTCTCTCCGTGTAGGAGGTAGAATGAGTTACTATGAAGACTGTCCTTTCAAGGAAAAACATATACCCTCTCTCTGGACATATTACACAATAAAATGTTTTGTTGAATGCAACTGGTTACCTTCTGGTTTACTATTAACTTCATAGTGGCTTAAAGGTCCAGTGTGTAGGCTTTAGTGGCATCTAGTGGTAAGGTTGCATATCGCAACTCCCTCGCTTCATCTTCCCCCTCCAAGTGTAAAGGAGGAACTATGGTGTCCTCGAAATGTGTAAAAAAAAAATGACGCCCCTATCCAGAGCTAGTATTTGGTTTGTCCTTTCTGGGCTACTGTTTCAACATGGCGGACTCAATGGAAAGGGACCCATGTTAATAGTGTTAATTTGGTTGTGTTTTGGGCCACCTTCACTCTGCTTTTAGCTCTGTTTTTGTTTTCCACCAACTTCTGAGAAACAAATCTGGCAGATTAGCAGCTAAATGCTCCACTATGTATCTAGTCCCCAACTGTCTGTTTGCTGTTGGGTAATGGGCAGGTTGTGTACAGTAGATTCAGCTGTGTCGCTGATAATGGCTGCCTGCTGCGTCTGTCAGTGAGGTTGATGAGAGAGAACAGTAACATTGTGGACCAAAACAATGAGCTGAAAGATGCTAAAAAATGCTGGGTAGAGCTGAAAGGAGTCCAGTGGTGATTCTCTACGAGTTCATCACACACATTGTTAAAACTATTGATTTGTTCATTTTGACTTTAATCTAAATAAAACAAGTTTTGTTGCAGCACTGCATTCTGGTCCATTACTTTCTGTAAATGTTATATCTGCCTTTGTTACGATCGATTTTCTCAGAGTTTAAATAATATTTCTTGAATCTTTGCTAAAAAACAAACGTTAACCATAATCTCACTTTCAGCTTTGGTGTCGACTGAAAATGACACCAGTGGGACAAATGTTACACTCACTACTAACTGATATGACCTGTATAGGTATAATTCCTCCCCACTAACATGATCTCATGCAGAATGAATGAAGTGACATGAAATAGCAATTCAGATTACTATCAGTCTTGAATTAAAGATATTGAAATTTAAATTTTTTTTCTGATTGCTTGAACAACCTGTTGGCCTAAAGGTTTAAATAGATAGTTTTATTCTACTGAGCAAACCTGATTAGGCCGGTTACTAGCAGAAGAAAAGCGAAAAACTAGACCAAAAATGCACCATGAATGCAAAAAATAAATAAATAAACCCATTCACCAATACCTCTTTTCATCGCCTTTCCATTTATTAGAAATATTGCAACACATGGTTTTTCTGTAATACACCGTCATGCTTCGAGCTACATCTCTGGGCTAACCACAACCATTTCCTCTGCAATCTACCCTCAACCTTTTCAAAAACCGAGTGGAAAGTTTCTGACAGTCAACTTCAGTCCCCTTGAAACCACAAACCCCCTCCCTCTTCCACACCAGGTAACACCTTTTTTTTTCCTCCTTGAAACATTTTTGATCTTGATAAATGCAACACCACACCAACTTTTGTTTAGTTGCCCTTTTTCTGCAGGTGAGGAGCAGTTATCAGTACATCTCCATCATCATCATGAGGACCAGTCACATCCTTCTGCTTTGCATCCTGGGAGCAGCACTGCTTTCTTCAGTGATCTGCAGCAGTAAGCTAACCTTAGGTTTTATATTTGAACCGTGTTCTATGTTAGAGGTGTTACTTCTTTCAACACCCTGGTAATATGTTACGTTGTGGTCTTTGTTTCAGATGGAACCGGTCCTGACGACTGCTGTTTCAAATTCTACCCGAGGAAAATTAACAAAAAACTCATCCGTGATTATATCCTAACTGATAATCGGTGCCCAAAAACTGGAGTCATGTAAGTTTATTTTAATACAATGACATTAATCAGTAAATAATCAAATCAGTTGTGCACATTTCACACATATACTTATATACTCATCAGATATAAAGTACATTGCATAAATCTTGAATTTTTTTAAATAATTCTTTAATTTTATTTAAGACAGTCGGACATTAATGACATTGACTTTTCACTCTCTCTCTTTCAGTCTGATTACACAAAAGTCTCGTCACATCTGTGCAGATCCGAGTCTCTCGTGGGTTGAGAATATCATGAAATGTGTGGACGAAAAGACCCTTTAAAGCACCTGCTGCCTGCTCCTCCTTATAGTTACTGCAGCCTTATTTTGCTTTGTCAGATCACATTCTGTGAAATGCATGTAACAGTGTGGTCATGATTTTACCATTAATGTGAAAATCTGTTTGAAATAATTAAAAATGGAGCCTCTAGATGGAGCCATTTAGAGCTCTTTGGCACATTGATCAACTTATCCTATGTTTTTGTGATTTCTTGTGATTTCTTTTGATGCTTTGTATCGCCCACAGTATCATACAATATAAAGCTTGTACCAATACAGTCAACAGTGTGAAAACTTTGCTTTGTCTCCTCTCAGTTCCTTCCAATCTAAAAAATACAAACTTGCTTGATCTGTATTGACAAATTTGTAGAAATCTTAAAAAATATACACAGTAGGCTATATCTCAGCATTTTATTCATTTCTGTGAAGAGAACTAAATTAATGTTATTTTTAAAGTTTAGATAATTATTTAAGATATAAACTTTGAAGACCTGAAAGCAGAGCCTTCACTCTCTAATAAACTTATCCTCCATTAGAAAAGTTAAAACAACCAAAGAGCTAATAGAAAACAATGAATTTGAAAAAAAAGAAGCCCATGAAGTATGTATGATTTAAAAAAAAATGAAAATACCTAACCAACAGATAATTGTATTTCAAGTTACCAAAAATATCAAAATACATATAACATAAAATATAGAAGAACAGGTTCTAGCATTAGCTGCCTCCAATAGGCCCAGATGTGGTGACGGTAAATACTCAGACTCAGAACTGACATTGTGACCTCGGCTCTCCGTACGTTACTCTGGGACGTAGCATGTGTGATATACTGACCGCTGCCAGTACATAGCAAAAATGAGTGCCCACTGTAGAGCATGGGTACATTGGGCCTTAACGCTACAGAAACATGAATACACAAGACTGCCATTATACTACTATAAGACTAATAGTGTCATTACAACTACTGCTCTAAGTCTTAACTGACTGCTACTAATACTACTACTGCTACTAGTAATAATACTACAATTATCACTACTACAGTTCTTACCAATTCAGCTAATACTGTACTTTGTGCACATGGAATGAAAGGCTACTGCTAGTCACATTATTAATATTTATAAATAATACATTATCATTAATAGGACTCCAATATGTTTTGTAATACTTTTTATTTCAATTCTTAGTATTTTAGAAAATATGCACACAGAACTTTTATAGGCACGTGGGAAAAGAGTTAACCTCACCTGTGGTAATACATCGTGACGGCAACAAGAGAAAAATAGTACATGAGCAATGCTTTGTGGGTAAATGGTTATTTTCAGATCCCTGCAACACATGCAAACACTGGCTGTTTGTGGTACAGTGGCATGTTTAACAAGAAGAGAGTAGATTGAAAATTGTACAGATTGTAAAACCCCCTGAGCTAAATAGTGATTTGTGATAAAAATTGATTTGACTTGAGATAGAAACATGCAGCGGACTGTTCAGGTCATTGTTGTTCTTCTCAACATTGTATGGATTGTCTTCTTTTTACAAACAGATCCTTCCTCAGGTAAGAAACGTTTCATATTGTGTTTTCTGTTGCACTTTGTCGGTTTTAAAATAAAGTGTGTTAATAATCACATTAGTTAATCATAACTTTATACTGTAGTATTAATTAAATATTTTATATTACATATTACATTTTATTTCATGACTACTTCAACTTACCTCAGCCCAGATCTGCACACTAACTATAAGCACATTGTCAGCCTCACACTACACACACTTGTCTACATTAGACAGAAATCTAACTAACTTCTTTGCCATTTCAAGGAAGTGCGTTTCAAAATACTCCACTTCTGAACCAACTGATCCAACATAGCTGTCAGGTGTACGGACACTTGACGCTTAATTGTAAACTCACTACGCTTAAGCATTGTCAATTCAATTTAATTCAATTTCGACTATTAAATGTTCAATTTCAATGCCATAATGTAAAGAGGAAACAGGTGATCTGTCCACCAATCTGCTCTGGCCCAAAACTGGTTTCATCAGCATCCACAATTCCAGCACCTCCCTCCATACTCTCCCTTCTTTAACTCCATTGAGGCCCTACATCAGGGCCAAGCAGCAAGGAAAGCTTTTTTTCCCATATTGCACTGCAATTGTTTAGTGATTATATACCAAACCACTAATCAAAGCTGAGACTGTATGCTAATAGAGAAAGGGGGCATGATAGTCCAGTACATTCTGTGAATTGGTAAATGGAAAGAATGGTAAACATGATCAGCAGTTGAACACAACTACAACACAGTTGTTATCGATTACACACAATGACTCAAAATGGTTGACACTCTTCTATGTGATTAAACCAATTGATTAGAATAGAATGTGGATATGTGAGTGGTTCAACATCATCCAATGATTAATAAATGTTTGTCCTCCACCTCTCCTTTCCTCAATCCAATAGAAGATAGACCTGTGGTGACAGAGGGGGGAAGTCTCGTTAAGACTGGATCCGGCACAGTGGAGGGTTTTCCCCCTGTTGCCTGGCAAGCAAGACTGTTACCTGTGATGTAGACAAAGGCCTGAGCCAGCAGAGAGACATGATACTGAGGCAAAATGAAACCTTTGTCTGTTTTACTGTTGCAGTACTTAACCCTTGTCCACACTGGGCTGCCTCACAGTACTGCTGCAGCTCGTACACCTGTAGGGTCCACACAGAGAGCGTTTCTGCTTCTGCGCTGCCTCTGCCAGCCCTATCTTCCTACATTACATTCCTACCTTGAATTTCCCTCGAGATAAATAAAGTATCTATCTATCTTATGTTTGCCCCTAGATAAATACAATACAATAAAAGCTTTGGTAACCAAAGAATGAATTCTGTCCACAGAAACACTAGAGAGCGTGTGTGGCAGTGTGGCTGCTCTACTCTGTTTGCAGAAATAAAAAGGAAGACATTCCATTGTGAACGTTCCTTGTACTTATGAGTTGTGAACCCACATTTTATATATATTTTTAGAAAATACAAAATGCATTTACATATTTATTTCTGATGTTATATGCCCTGAACTCTAGTGGGTGTAGAATATGCTCTGTTCTGATTTCCAGTGCAAAATGCAAACCTTTGGAAATACATGGATGTATGGACTGATTTTGCATTGTGGAGCGAAATAAATATTTGCTCAGTATATTCATGTACTTTACTCCAACAAAATCTCAGAAAAAAATCTATCACAGACGACTTAGAAAAGTAAACAGTGATTAGATTAAGCACAGAAGTGTGCAACTGGTTCAAACAGAATCAGATCGTATGAACCATGTCTGTGCCATAGGGTGACACATTTTTATAAATTGTTGAATAGTGAATGAAGTGTTTCATTTGCATAGTGTTTTGACTATATGGGTTTTGAAAGAGTGCTTAAGCAATTGTATAAAAGAATAAGATGGGTTGTGATTTGCAGTGTCCGTACAGAGGAGAAGCTCTGACAGCTCTGATGAGGAGATGCTGTTTGGAGAGTTTTGTATTCAGCCTGAATCTGACATGAACTGGACATCAACTCTACATCCAGCCAACGACACCACAAATAAAACCAACAACACCAACACAACCACTGAAGGTAAGTCTGTCTTTATCCTGAAAATGTGCTGAAAATGTCAGTTCATCAATTTGTTATCTTCTTCATACCATCATATCTTTATCATCTAACCTACACCAATTATGCAGTAAAATGCTACTTTATAAATGTATCTTTTATTTTACATTATATTTACCCGTATTAATATGTTTGGTATTTTGCTATGCTTGCTTCACGTGTTTTCTGCAGAGTGTGCACCCAGAAACTTCACACTGCATAAAAGCAGCAACCTAACCGATGTGATCAAAGGTCACAGCCAGGAGACGAGTACACAAGCAAAAGACCTTCACATTTCACAGTTGTCATTGGTTGACCTGAGAACTCCTGCACCAGGAAGCAAACCCAGAGTAAAGTGAGTTGAAGTTAACTAATATGGCTTCAAAATAATAGCTGTTTACAGTGTAATACGTGTATTTTATTTTCTTTGTTTACACTTTGAGCTTTGGTTCTATATTACAAAAAATTATAACTTTCTTTATACTTTTTACACAAATGATTAACTCATGTACATCTTATTATTTTGTACATTTCATTATATATCACAGTATATCACATTTGTAGTACTGGTAGTGCTACACATTACAGTAGTAGTAGTAGAAATGTTCATTGTAGCAATGATAATTGTAGTTATAATAATGATAACAACACCAATAATAAAAATAAAAAATAAAAATGAGATCAAATAGAATAAAGTAAAAAGACAACATCACATGAAAACAAGTGTATAAAAATGGGTTTTAAGAAGTGATCTAAAAGAAGTCACTCATTCTGCAAACCACATCTCCTCAGGCAGGTCGTTCCAACGCTGGGGGGTCCTTATGGCAAATACATCTTTAGATTTAAGCGAGGACCTAAGGCTGTGAACTGGCTCATAAGGGGTCAACATTTCTGCTATGTAGCTTAGGGCCAGACCCAGATGTGCTTTAAAATGTGTTATTACTTGTAGTAGTTGTTATTTGTAGCAGTTGTAAAGTACTTATAGCAGTTGTAGTAAGTGGTTTCATTTGTGTTTGACTTGTGACATGATGTGTTCTTCCTTTTTCTCTCCACTTATTACGTAAAGTTTTGATCTTTGGATTGTTTTGTTTTGAATCATTAAAATACATCAAGCTAAATGTATGTATCTGCTGACATTACTAAATGTTCTCCAACAAAATCCAGTCAAGTTTATTTATATAGCTCACAACCATAGCTGACCAACGTTCTGTACAAATGAAAGTGCACGACACATCTGTAAAAAAGGCACAACCCAGTCATGTGTTCATGTATCCACTGTTGGAGACAGGTTTGAGACACATCCAGCCGGGTCCCCTGCTGTGGCAAGACGGCCTTCTTCTTCTTCCTCTTCAAATGCAATCTCTTCTGATGACTGCTGCTTTAAATTCTACCCAAGAAGAATCAACAGAAATCTCATCTTTGAATATTACCTCACTGATATGCGGTGCCCAACGACTGGAGTCATGTAAGAAAAGTTAACTTTACTTTAGTCTTAATCAGTAAATGACTTTACGCAACAAAATAGTAACAATAATAATTATTATAAGGTACAACGATTATTATTATTTTTACGATTACCATTATATTATTTAAATTAATTAAGTAAATTCAATTATGGATTCAACATTTAAAGGACCAGTGTGTAGGATTCAGTGACATCTTGTGGTGAAGTTGCAGATTGCAACCAGTTGAATACAGTTCAGCCTTCTAAATGTGTAGCTGGGAAACTCATGGAAAATGCCAAAGGCTCTATCTACTGCCAGAGTTTGGTTTGTCTGTTCTGGGCTACTGTAGAAAGCTGGTGGACTCTATTTAAAGGGACTGATGTAGATAAAAATGGCTCATTCTGAGGTAACAAAAACAGTTCCTATATTCAGGTAATCATACACTAATGAAAACAAACCTATGAATATTATTTTCCATTAATGCCAATAGATCCTCCTCAATGTTACACACTGGACCTTTAAAATAGAATTCAGAATATTATATAATTAATATTTGGAAAGATCTTTTTTGTTTTTTGTTTTGACTTTACAAATGTATTTAATAAAAAAGTTGATCAATTAATTTATTCACTGTGGTTTACTCATTTATTCAGTCATTAATTTTTTTCTTTGTTCTTTGTTTCAGCTTGGTCACAAAAAAACATCGTCACATCTGTGCTGATCCAGGTCTCCCCTGGGTTCAGAGCATCTTGGATCATGTGGACAGAAGCTCCTATTAAACCAGCCGGCTGCGGCTACTGTTGCTTTCTCAAAGCTCATATACTATAAAATTCAATGTTTATAACTTTAAACAGACTATAGTAAAGATTTTAGTATTATATAATATGAAAACCTGCCACAGTTTAGTATAATTTTGGACCTTGGTTACCACAGTGGTGGGTACGACCATGCTTACCAGGGGTGGCAGTACTCAACAAGAAGTAAGGGTGCTCATGTGGACAAAAATCTAAAGTGCCAGCCCATTTCAGGCACTGCTATTAAACCATCTGTCTTGTTTGACTTTAAAGGATTAGAATGGGTTTATGAGCTAAACAAGGACTGTGGATTTTGTCCCCATGTTTTACAGTGTAGTCATGCAACTATGAGATCTCTTACAACAAATAACTCTTGCAATGTACATATGTCTGAAAAATAAATCTCAATCTTTTACTAACCTGTTACCTATTACAACTACTTACTCTGGACAGATAACTGCTACCTTTTCCCAGCATTACATTTCTGTTACTACTCTGAATAGTTATAGTTACTAAATTTGGCCTAAAAATCTCACATAGTGCACAAAATGAAATGTATCAAGTGAGGTTATCAAACAGTGACCACAGTGTATATGTTTATCATTGAATACAGTATTGTCATTGTATGTAAATCAGTATCTGAAATGATGTAGAGGATGAATATGCTGTATTACTGTAAAAATAGACAATGTGGTCAAAATGGTGATTTTGACTGTTCTTCATTGCATCACTCATAATAATAATGTAGGTGTGCAAATCATTAAAATATTCAAAAACAGGTGCTTATTGTTTTACCAACACAGCACAGTCAGTTTTATCTTAGCTCTTAGTTTTAATTTGACATTTTCCATTTGCTTGTAAGTATGTCTTTCTATAATAAGCATCCAACTATGGTTATACTAGGCAACAATAACTTCCAATACTGTGCTATAATCCCTTTTTGACCTTGCATCTTTCCTTATCATATTGTACTATACTACTATGGTTAACTGGCAATCCGTGCACCATAAGAACAATTCTGCTGATTTCTCTTGCTGCAGTAATCTCAAAGTTAGAGAGTACAGAGTACACCACACCACTGAGCAAAAAAGGTCCACATTAACTTACAATAACACCAGTCTCCCAACAACAGCAACTAGAACAATCTAGCTACTTTTGTCAAGTACCAAGTCAGCGGCCCAGGGTTTGAGTCCGACCTGTGGCCCTTTGCTGTGTGTCATTCCCCCGCACATCAACACTCCCTTGGAATCAAGATTCAAGATTCAAGAACTTTATTTGCCATTTGTGCTTGCACACATAGGAACTCTTGTGCGGTTGTTTGCTCAAAGAGTCAAGTTAAAAAGACACACAAGAAAGACACATAAATCTATAAAACATATACTTCTCTAGAAATAAAAAGAAAGTGCATAAAACCCTAAACAAAAGAGAAAGTGGGAGCATTGTAATTATAAATTGCACAAAACTCTATATAAAGTGTAAATTGCACAGGTATATTGCACAGGCCCAGGACACAATATAATATAATATACTATAATATAATATGATATGTTATGAGGTAGGTCAGTTCATTTTGTTTTGGCCAAGAGTCTCACTGTGGCAGGGAAGAAGCTCTTAAAAAAGCGTGTTCTGTTTGTGGTGATGCTGTCCGCTCATCTGTGCCTGAGGTTGTATGTGCAGTTTTTGTGTTTGAGCAGGTAGTGAGCTGGATGAAGTGTGTCTCTGATGATTCTCTCTGCTCTTTTTTGACAGCGCTGTGTGTAGATTGTGTCCATGGAGGGGAGTTCCGTTCTGATAATCCCCTCTGCAGTCTTTATGACTCTTTGCAGAGCCTTCCTCTCTGTCTGTGTGGTGTTTCCATACCAGACAGTGATGCCAAAGTCACATTAAAATTGAAACTTAATTAAAATGGAATACTTAATTTTACGTAATTTCATCAGTGATAAGATTGGCTATTTCTGTATAGTGGGATTCAGTCTTGGAATCAAACAAGGTGGTAGAAAACACTCTCACTTTTGTCCACAGGGGCCGCCAGAATTAAGGCAAAATGTTTCTTGTGGGGGTTTTGATATTAATTACCCCATTGTATTTGGTTGTTTTCACCTATGAGCTCCACATTTACTTATAAAAGTATTCATGGTGACACTACTAGAAATGTATTGTAGTGAATCAATAAATAAACATGATACATATTTAGTGGTTGTTACTTAAATTGGGCCATTCAATGCCTTTGTAAATTCCCTTCTGGAAACTGTCTCTGATGCAGACACAACGCTGTGGGTCTTTCTGTCTTGGAAACATAGAACGATTCACTAAGAAGAACCACATCTGTGTGAAAGCAGTGTGTGTTATGCCCATGTGAAAGTAAATCACACATTCTGCAGAAGATGTACTGTCGGTTTTGTGGTGACATGATGTATTAAAACCCCTGCAACACACCTGCAAACACAGATAAAGCTATTTTTAAATCTTGGAGGAGTGACATTAGATTCTGCAGCACGTATATGTATCCCACAAAGACAGTCTGTCAGCAGCTGGTTTCAGCACTGACTGAGTGAAGGTTCTGTATATCAGTAGATAGAAACATGCAGCGGACTGTCCAGGTCATTGTGGCTCTCCTCAACATTGTATGGGTTGTCTTCTTTTTACATCCAGATCCTTTCTTACGTAAGAGAAGAAATTTTCATTGTGTTCTCTGTTGCTTGTTGGTTTTAAGTGTAAAGTGTGCTACAAATGATCATATTGGTTGTACTAACTTTGTAGTGTAGCAGTAAATGTTTGTAACTTAATGTGTGGGTCATCTTGAGATGGTTTGTGTTGATTTGCAGTGTCCGTACAGAGGAGAAGCTCTGACAGCTCTGATGAGGAGATGGTGTTTGGAGAGTTTTGTATTCAGCCTGAATCTGACATGAACTGGACATCAACTCTACATCCAGCCAACATCACCATAAATAAAACCAACAACACCAACACAACCACTGAAGGTCTGTCTCTACTGTAGATGTCCTTTCAGTTACTGTAAATGTACTTTTCTTCATGTAGTGTAGTAAGGCAAGGAGCTGGAATTCTGCGTCTCAGTAACTATTTGAGGACATGTCAAACAGAAAGTTGAGATAAACATGAATTGAGCCATAGAAATAAAGGGACGACAGATATTTTGAAGCAGTAGTTCCCAACCTGGCGGTCACCAGGTTTAGATAGATAACTGAATAAATAATATATAAGTGTATTTTATTTTTGTCCTTTTGTACTTTGAACCATTGTTTTTAGGAATGTCCGGATCAAGTTTTCAAGTCCTGGTCCGTTCCGAGTCATTTAATATTGAGTATCTGCCAAAACAGAGTCCTGATCTGATACTTGTATCATTTTGTTTAGACTATACACATACAATGTGTAGTGCGCACTTCAAGTACATCAAAGTTATTCAAATCAATCCAATGTATATGCTTGATAATTGAAGAGCTCTGAATGGCATCAAGAAAACTCAGTAAAGTATAAAATAATAAACCCTTTGTGATGTTTTTGGCCGTGAGTGTTTCTTTTTTTTTTTTTTTTTTTTTTTTTTTTTTTTATTTTATTTTCTTTTTTTTTTTTTTTTTTTTTTTTTTTTTTTTTTTTTTGGTTTGGTTTGTTTTTTTTTTTTTTTTTTTTTTTCCCCCCCCCCCCCCCCCGGACGGGGCCCCCCCCCCAGGGAAACTCCGCGGCGGGCGCCCCCCCCCCCCCCCCCCCCACACCGGGCCCCACAGGGGCCGGTTCAAAAAACCCCAAAACCCCCAACCCCGTCCGAAAAAATGCTTTGATCGTTGAGATTGGATAGGGACATCCCTAACTGTGTTCAGTTATACCCTAATTTGTACATTCAGTAATGGTAATGGGTGACACAGAGGCGACCAGACACAAAGTGGAGGAATATATGTAACAAAGTCCACATATTCCACTACTAATGTAAGTTACTGGCTTACACATGTTTTTTGTTGTTTTTTGTTGTTTTTTGTTCAGCAAACTGGGAAAGCAACTTTACATTGCATGAAGTTCAGAGGGATTGTCATTGCAACAAAACAAATATGCAACAAAGAGATTTGCTCTCTTTAAAGTTGTTAAATGTAGAATTCAAACCTCCTGCACCAGGATGTGAACCTCAGATAATGTAAGTCAGGGGTTTTTGTTTAACATTTGAATCACAGATCAAATGTTTCTGTTTTTATTCTCATATTTTCTCTTATCTGTAATTTGACCAGCATGACCTTTCCCAACATGGAGGTGTGCATGGATAACAAAACCTACTATACTGCCATTGCTCCACTGGTTTTGTAAGTACTGGATGTTTGGGTGTTAAATTAAATTAATCTCTGTGTGAATGAATATTTGAATACTTGTAAATTTTACAATCCAGTGTTATGCTGACATTTCTTCTGTGTTTGTTTTTTTTTAAAATTGGGGAGAAAAATACTATTTTTATTCCCCCCCCTAAGGTTTTGGGGGGCCTCTTGGTTTTTTAAGGGTTTAAAACCTTCTCCTTTTGTTGGGGGGGGGGGGGGGGGGATAAGGAAACCTACTTTACTACCATTGCTCCACTGGTTTCGTAAGTACTGGATGTTGGGTGTTTTTTAAAAAAAAAAATGTCCCAAATGTGACCTCAGCATTCTACTGCCATGACTTGCTAACCTGCGGAAAAGTTAACGCGTTGGAATTTAACCTTTGTACTTTGTAAGGCAGAGTGGCGCAGCACAGTACAAATATTGTATTTAATAGGGATGCATGATATGGATTTTTATTCAGCTGATATGATAACCAGTAATTACCTGCTTCTCATCGCCGATGTTGATAAGAACTTAACTTAACTTTTTTGTATTAATAAAAAAGTTCATAACCGGCAATTTATGCACATTTGAGGGTAAGAAAGGTTAAGATGTAGTGAGCAAAGATTCAGTCACTCACAAACAAATCTGACGTTGCTATTGTTATTAAATGAATCTCTGTGTGAATGAATATTTGAAAACTTTTGAATTTTACAATCCATTGTTATGCTGACATCTGTGTTTGCATATATTAGAGACTTGGATGAGACGACTCCAGCTACTACTCCCTCCTCAGAGGTTACTGCAGCCTCTGGGTTGATTTCTAACAACGGCTTAACAGCTGCTCCTGTTAGAGTGACCCAACGGTCAAACCCTCCTGTCCAACAGAAAGACCATAGGTCCAAACTTTTTCTTCTGGCAGTGAGTTGGTGCCTTCTAAATGTTTCCATCAGAAAGTTTGAAGAAAAAGATTCTTTAGTTACGTGTAGTTCGATAGATAGATAGATAGATAGATAGATAGATAGATGATAATAGATAGATAGAAGATAGATAGATAATAAAAGATAGATAGATAGATAGATAGATAGATAGATAGATAGATAGATAGATAGATAGATAGATACTTTATTTATCCCGAGGGAAATTCAAGTGTCCAGTAGCATACAAAATACAAAACATACATTAAACATACATTAAACTAAAATTAAAAACCCTAACCTTAAGAATAGAATTAAAAATATATATATATAATTAACAGTAGCTACAGTAAACAGTGCAAACAGTAAACAGTGCAATGTAGCTTCACATAAGCCAAAATAATTAATAATCTGTATTGTCCAGTTCAGAGAATGCTTGCATCACAATTTCTTTTGACTGCTGGTGTTATTAAATTAAACTTCAGCAAAAACATTTTATTTTTTCAGGAATGTGCTGCAGAAGATACTCCTCCACACGGATTCCTTTATCTAGGATAAAGGGCTACTTGATACAGACTACCTCTGATTGGTGTCTTATTAATGCCATTATGTAAGTAAATAAGTAAGGATATTCATACTTTGTCATAGATACATTTTCATTTATCTAAAAACACTTATATGACATGAAATATTCATTAATTAATGAAGATATAGAAATGTGTAAGTTTCAGAAACCCTTATTTTGTCTCCACAGATTTGTTACAAGTAAAGGCAGAGTCTGTGCTGATCCGGGTGCTGAATGGGTTCAAAATCATGTGAGAAGTATTCGGATGAAATCGGTGAAAGTTCATCATAGTGAGTTTTTTTTCTCCTGTAATTCTGATTTAAAGGAAAAATCTCCAAGAAACCAAATGAGACAGTTTCAGTATTTGAAGGCAGGGGCAGGCTCTGATATAGAAATGTTGGTGTTAAAAGGCATACAAGTTAGTACCAGTTGGAACATAAAGTGGTAAATACAAGACAAATGCTAATGCTGAGAAAAACAGTCGGATTGGACCAATATTGTCTTCATACAGTTTCCCACTCATTCCTCATAAGACAATATAGACTGCATAATACTCTTGCATTGTAGACTAGTGTGTTGGAACCTTTGCTAATTGTAATGTGGATCCAGTGTGTGGTTGTGTACATGTTTGACACATGACCACATGGTGTCCACAGTGTTGCATTTGTACCTTCAGGCATCCTGAGGTAACTCTGCTGTGCTCTGTGGATTCAAGTTGAATTTTTAATGTTCATTTAACTTTTTATGAACAGACAGACAGAAAAGGGCCGCTGCTGTAAGGACTCCCCCTTAGTATGTGCAACATACGCTCTACCAGGTGAGCTACTGGAGCACTTTAATTGTACTTTTGTACTTCTGTCTTGGGTTGTGCCGTGTGTTCTAACTTTTGTAAATGTATTATGTTTCTCACCCCATCTGTCTTTTGTCTTATGATAAGAGGAGTTTAAAGGAAAGTTAACAGCCTAATCTCACCATACTAACAAAGACAGGGAGGCCTGTTTGCAGCACACTATCGACAGAGTAAATTCATACAGTGTTGACATCATAAGTTCTCTATTTTTCTCTTACGGGCTCTTTTGTTTGTGATATGATTGAAAACGGCTGTGGCAAAGTTCCAAGATTAAAATGGTAAAATTAAGAAATTTAGAAATTGACCCATTAATTACAACAAAGCTGACCTGAAAAAGTATCCAGAGGGAACTTTAAAACTGCTCTATACCTCCAATCACGCAGTTAATTCTACTGTTAGTCTCAGTCCCACCAATAGGCCTAGTCTATGCAGATTAAATCTTTATACTGTGAATTTCCTGCAACCATAAATAGCCCCTCAGAACGATTAAATGGGAACATAACAAATGCATTCTGGTCCAAGAAGCTGGCATAGATACTGAATTCCCTCAGATGAGAGGTTTGCAACAATGTGAGGAAAATGTAAACAGACATAGTGGATAATACCCCCATTGTTCAGTAAAGAAGACTTTGCTACCAGCTGAGTATATTTGCAGTGTTTTGTCATCATTTGAAACTATCTTGTCCTCTCCAGACGAAGAGTGGAAGACACACACAACGACTGAACCTGAAAGTTCAGTGCATTTCGGCGAGTTCTGCCTGCGTATATCTGATGACTCTCAGGAACAGCTTACCCAGATACCCTCAAAGTCAGCTCACCCAACCAAACAGGCCACCCAACTGCCTGAACAGCCAACCACAGACCCAGCCCATCAAGACAGTCAGTCAGCCGAACCAACCACACAGCTGAATAGATAAAATGACGTGGAGTGGGAAAATGACTGTGTGCAAAGTCTATACTCTCTGATATTGAACATCTACTAGAGTTCACCAGTAAAGAGCTGCCTTACCAAGCCGACCATGGCCTTTGCTCACACTGAAACTTCCTGGCCAGTTTTAGAACAGCTGTTATGTGCTTATTAAATATGTATTCTCTAAGTCATTTTCATGGCTTAAAAATCGTGGCCAATTATTTGTCCTATGACCCCAAAACTGCAGATACTACTCTCCGTCTTTGTATTGCCATAGACAGATATGTAGGTAGTGCAAAGGCAGAGTGCAGTAACTACAGCCTGAGTGTCTTCTTCTTGACAAGACAAAGTCTAGATCTAATTTCATGTCTTATATTATCTTCATTAAATCTGTGTTCATTGATGTTTCATGTGTAAAAAGTTGAAATACATATTATATAATATATAGGTATTATTTTGTGAAGTTTAACTTCTGAGACATTTTCTTTAATTAGCACAGTGATACCTTGTACTGTCTAGCTAGTTATTGTTAGCACACTAATATCTGAACTAATATTACTATCTGCTACAATGTGCTCAGCTCATAATACAAAGATAAAGTCAGTAAGAATTCCCAGTGGAAAAAATAAAGATTCCCTTTGTTTTAATTCCATACATTGTCCTGAAATGGTCTAGAATACAGGATTTACAGACACTGTACTGTCACTGCACTTTTTGGTTGGATTTTGTAGTTGCTCCAATTTGAAATCTTTTTTCTCTAACATAGAGCAAGGGTGAATTGAGAACATTTGTCACAAGATAAAACACTATTCCAAGTTCAGTTTCAGTCATAACTCAATTTTAACCAAAACTGTAGTTACTGCGGTTTGCCTTTGTGGGGCAATATAGATTGGTCAGTCTATTAAACTTCCATCTTAATCGCAGTATTTCTGTTAAGTTAGATAGTTAGATATCATTAGCCACAAAAAATCTACAGACACAAGTAAGGCTGTGGTATCAAGATCCCAGAGTGTATTTAATAGGACAAGAGTGCATTTTATTGTTTATGAATTAAAGTAAGAGGAGGCCTGAGCTTCTTTAAAAAGTTACATAGTCTCTCCTTAAATGTTAATGTGTGATTTTAGGCAGTCACACTTCATCACTTCAAGTCAACTCCAGTTTGATTAGTATGTTACAGTTCAGGTTGAACATAATGTTCTGTTAGCTGAACTGAAAGAACCGAAGTGTGAATTTTTGTGTGAATTTGTGATCTGATCGAAGCCATTTCCTCACTGATAAGTAGATATTAATCCTCCTTTCCTGTAAGTTGACTTGCTGACAAGAATATATTACTCAACCAACCTCCAGCCGCTGGTCTGAAGCTGTAACTGAGGCAAGTAGCGATGAACAGCTTTCAGTCATATCTCCCCCTCCAGTGGACCCAGCCACAGAGTTACCCATAACCACTCAACTTTCTGTGATAGAAAACAACCAATTCCATGATGCAAATCCACAAACTACTGTTTTAAGCTTTTTAAAAGGAGAAGAAATGAAAGACTAGCGTGTTCATGAAAAATCAGAAGTGTCGGCTAAATGTGAGTTTTGCCATTAAAGAGTGACAGCTTTAATTTAACATGATGAGAAATACCATGCAGAATTAGATTAAAGGTTTATCTCATGTGGCTTCAACTTCATAACAAACTTGGACAGTGTTGACCCAAAGGTTGTTCAGTCCCTGAATCTAAAGATGCAGTCATTTCCCTGTCTTGTTCATAATTAGTAAGGTTTCTACCACCATATTTCACACATTAAAGTTGTATGAAGGTCTGGTCTGCGTTTGGACTGAGATTGCAAATAGTTCTATCTTTAAATTTCAAATTTTAGACACAAGAATTAGTAGCATTCAGTATTAATCACCATTTAGTTGACATGGGTAATTATCAGGCTTAAACAAAGACTTTATTGGGTTGCAGTGTAGGAAATCCTTTGTTTTATATCAGCTGTCAAAAAGCTATTTTTATTTACAAAGCCAACCAAAGAGCTATTAGAACAATAGCCAAGCATCAGGGAGAGAAAACACTGAATTTGTATGACATATGTATGATCTTAAAGATCAATTATGAGTCATGAAGTCAGGAAAGACACAATAATTCAACCATAAAGGATATTGACTCCCACATTGAAGCAAAGGGAAACAGTGCTAACAATAAAGCTGGTTGGCACGGTTCGAGCTGCTCCTCGCAATTCCTAAAGCACACACATATCACTTTAAACAAAAATGAACTGTATATTTACACTTTTATTGGCCATATACCTGATCTCAAAGTAACTCATCACACTCTGAATATACCTACACATTGCATACGGGGGCGCGGGGATGGCCGGGGCTTCCTGGGCGCTGTGCTGTGGCAGGCAAGCAGAGGGGAGAGACGGTAAAGAAGCCATGAGAGCACCAATCTCCCATCCTGATATCTTGATACAGTCAATATCTGTTTCTAAAAAAACATGCCAGAAAAAGGGCACTGTCTCTTACAGACAAAAGGGTGGGGGCTCAAGCCCCCTTTGTGGTCTATGTGTGCATGTGAATGCCTCACACCTTTTGCAAAACACTACATAAACGTTTTTAAATCAGACATAGAAATCTAACACGTGACTTATTTTTAAGGCACTACCTTTCAACACTCCTATGAACCAATTGATAAAACGCAGTGAGAAGGTGAACAGACAGTTAACTGTGAACTCCTAACGCGTTTTCATTCTAAAACTCATTCAGAGTGTATCTGTCCTCAACAGAAATTGGAGGCAATGTTCACTGGTCTGCTCTGGTCCAAAACTGGTTTCATCAGCATCCACAGGTTCCACTACAGCACCTCTCACCATACCCTACCTTCTTTTATTTTGTGTAAACAGGGTGAAAAATTAAAACTCTTCTTCTGTGTGAAGGCAGTGTGTGTTATGCCCATGTGAAAGCAAATCACACATTCTGCAGAAGATGTACTGTCAGTTTTGTGGTGACATGATGTATTGAAACCCCTGCAACACACCTGCAAACACAGATAAAGCTATTTTTAAATCTTGGAGGAGTGGCATTAGATTCTGCAGCACGTATATGTATCCCACAAAGACAGTCTGTCAGCAGCTGGTTTCAGCACTGACTTAGTGAAGGTTCTGTATATCAGTAGATAGAAACATGCAGCGGACTGTCCAGGTCATTGTGGCTCTCCTCAACATTGTATGGGTTGTCTTCTTTTTACATCCAGATCCTTTCTCACGTAAGAGAAGAAGTTTTCATTGTGTTCTCTGTTGCTTGTTGGTTTTAAGTGTAAAGTGTGCTACAAATGATCATATTGGTTGTACTAACTTTGTAGTGTAGCAGTAAATGTTTGTAACTTAATGTGTGGGTCATCTTGAGATGGTTTGTGTTGATTTGCAGTGTCCGTACAGAGGAGAAGCTCTGAAGGCTCTGATGAGGAGATGGTGTTTGGAGAGTTTTGTATTCAGCCTGAATCTGACATGAACTGGACATCAACTCTACATCCAGCCAACATCACCACAAATAAAACCAACAACACCAACACAACCACTGAAGGTAAGTCTGTCTCTGCTGTAGATGTCCTCTCAGTTACTGTAAATGTATTTTTCTACATATAGTGTAGTAAGGCAAGGAGCTGGAATCCTGCGTCTCAGTAACTATTTGAGGACATGTCAAACAGAAAAATGAGATTAACATGAATTGAGCCGTAGAAATAAAAGGACGACAGATATTTTGAAGCTGTGGTTCCCAACCTGGCGGTCACTGGGTATGTATATATGTATATATAAATAAATGTGTATATTGGTGTATATTTATTTATGTCGCTGGGGCAACTGGGATGTTGCTGTAGCTTGAGATGGTCTCTAGGCTTATATCTCAGTATTTAATTCACAAGAAAACTAAATGAAAAAAAAAGAAGTCTATTAAGTATGTATGATTTTGTAAATTTAAAGAAATACTTAAGAAAAGGTTGGGACCCATTGTTTTGCATTACACATTCAGTGACAGCAATGGACGACACAGAGGCCACCAGAATCAATGTGGAGGAACATTGGACTTGTCACTTAGTCACTCGTTCACTATTAATGTAATGTACTGGCTTACACATGTTTTTTTTTTACAGCAAAGAGTAACTTCACATTGCATGAAGTTCAGCAGGACTGTCATTGCAACAAAACAAATATGCAACAAAGAGATTTGCTCTCTTCACAGTTGTTACGTGTAGAATTCAAACCTCCTGCACCAGGATGTGAACCTCAGATAATGTAAGTCAGTGGTTTTTGTTCATACTTTAAATTAATAGCTGTATTTTTCCCATCAGTAGTGTAGTAAAACAGTGGTTAATACTAATAGCAGTACTGGGAGTAATGGTAGCATTTGAAACTGTTAATGTTGGTAGTGGCAGGAGTACTATATGTGGTATCAGGAGATGTGTTTCTGTTTTTGTTCTCATGTTTTCACTTATCTGTAATTTGACCAGCATGACCTTTCCCAACGTGGAGGTGTGCATAGATAAGGAAACATACTTGACTGCCATTGCTCCACTGGTTTCGTGAGTACTGGATGTTTGGGTGTTTTTGAAATAAAAAAAGAAATCTCGGATGTTTTAAATTTTGCAATCCAGTGTTATGCTGCCATTCCTTCTGTGTTTGCATATATTAGAGACTTGGATGAGAAGACTCCAGCTACTACTCCCTCATCAGAGGTTACTGCAGCCTCTGGGTTGATTTCTCACAACAGTTTACCAGCTGCTCCTGTTGTTAAGAGTAAGTTTTTTTTTTCACTGTTTCCATCAGAAAGTCTGAAGAAAAGGTTTCTTTAGTCACTAACTTCATTATAAAACCAAATAATTCTCTTTATTGTACAGTGCAGAGGATGCTTGCTTCACAATTTTCTACTACTGTTTTTTTAGCAATGACATTTTGTTTTTTAAGGGTCGTGCTGCATAAAAGTCTCTTCCCAAAAGATTCCTTTTGATAGTATAAAAGGATACATGCTACAGCGTGTCTCTGGACAGTGTCCAATAACTGCTACAATGTAAGTACTGGCTATAATTATTTATTTTTCTAAAACGGGTGTATGACATGATATATTTGTAAATTAGAAGTGTCAGAATGAAAATGAAAAGTTCACTATCATCATAAGCATCAGATCATAGTGCATGGAATAAGCCTGGAAACTTCAAACCTCATATGAAAAACACACATGGGGCTGCTTTCTCAAGCTTATTCTTATGTCCATCGTAAAGAAATAAAGTTCTCAGTTAAACTAACATGGACATAGGGTAATATTTGTATTTGTGTTTTTTTTAACAACAAGTCTACTTTAATTTTTTCTACTTTATTTTAAGTTGTTTTTTTTTAATTATATTTAGTTTACGCTTGCTTTGGCAATGTAAATGTCTGTTTCATATGGCAATAAAGCCCCTTTGAATTGAATAATTGAATAAGAACTAAAGAGTAAGATAAATCAGGTTAATGAGGAATGACAAAGGGTAAAAACAAGAGCCAACTAGGAAAAGACATATTCATTAATTTACCACTTTCAGAAATCTTATTTTCTTTCAACAGATTTCAAACAGATCGCCAACTCTTCTGTGTAAATTTGAGAGCACCATGGGTTCGACAGTATATAAAAGACTTTCACAATAAGACATCGACGAAAAGTAAAATCCAAGGAACAAATGCTACACGGATTGAGGAATAATTGTCTTAGTGAGTTTTTTTTCTTCTGTAATTCTGGCTGAAAGGAAAGAACCCCAATAAACCAAATGAGACAGCTTCAGTGTTTGAGTGGCGAATACAAAAGGCATACAAGTTAGTTCCAGTTGGAACATAAAGTGGTAGATACAAGACAAAGGCTAATGCTCAGAAAACAGGTAAAGTGAGGAACTGCCAAAAAAAGCCAAATCGTGGCTGACTTTCTATTATTATTCTATTATTCTAGTTATTATTATCTTCCTGGTGAGCTACTGGAATGCCTCAGTTATACTTTTGTACTTCTGTTTTGAGTTGTGCTGTATGTTCTCACTTTTGTAAATGAATTATGTTTCTCACTCCATCTGTCTTTTGTCTTATGTGACCGAGCTAGCGCAATCTAACACAGTAAAGTGATCAGTAAACCTTTATTTATAACTTAACTCAAATTAAAAACGATAGCCATTTGATTTAATTTCAATGAAAATATGCTCCAGGATGGTTTATGTCACTGTCATCAGACTGCATCAGAACTAACCAAATACCCAACCCAATGTCAGTCGCATCAATACAGAACCAAAATTAGACTGTCCTGTGTAAACATTATTTTCACAGTTTGCAACAATGACAGCTAAATGTAAACAGACACAGTGAATAATCACCCCAGTAAGGGCCTAGCCTGCACATTTCATTTCTATTTTAATTTCACTTAACAGTTAGCTATTTAGATGAGCTAGACAAACACATATTTAAAAGAGATGTAGGCTATTACATGGTTTTCAGCAGGCTCTGGGCCACATGCACTGTATAAGTGCCATTTTCTTAATATCTAAAATCTTGGCTAGTTGGTTTCTAAATAAATGCTTTTATTCAGTAGCAGTAATTGTGCAATCCCTCCTGTACTGAGACATTTAATTATTTACTTACTTCATTTGTTACTTACTTTACTTATATATCATTCAAACCTCTGCTGAGTAATTTTGTGTCGCTTGAGTAATGCATACTAACGAGTAAAGGTTAGTCCAGCCAAATGTCACTGTGTACACTCTGGATAATATCAGCTAAAATATTTGGTCTTCTCCTTTGACGTCAAAGTAAAAGTCAAAGTCAGCTTTAATGTCAATTTCTTCACATGCACCAGACATACAAAGGAATCGAGAGGACGTTTCTCACTCTCCCACGATGAAACATATAAAGTGCACAGGCACAACAGATAAGACAAGACATTTACTAATACTAAAAAGATAGACTATAAAATATACAATATAGGAGTCTACTATGTATATGTAGAAATAGCAGCATAAGTTTCTGTATAAGTTGCGTGTCAGACATCTAAACCGTATAAGGCTGAATTTGGACAGAGTATTTATTCTATATATTCTATAGAGCTGTTGTTCTATAGGGCGTTGTTGCAGCAAAAGCTGAGTTAAAGCAAAGTGACATTCTTTTAACTACAGTGCCTAATGTTCGTGTGTAATGTACAATGTAAGGGCAGTGAGAAAGCCTTTCATCATTTCCATTATGACACATATTTCAGCACCATGGACAGACAGCAGAGGTCTAATTATCATTAGGGACTTGTCTAAACTTCACAGAAAATAAAGAAATGTGTGTCTAGTAGGCAACTTAGGGAAGTTCATATACAGTAACATCAGCTCACATGACAGAACAGCTCGATGAGAGGTGGGCGGGGAGCCACTCTGATGGTATTGCAACACAACATAAAGCCAAGGCTTCACCTTCAGAACTTCCTTCCTGCTTTGCTACTGAATGATCTGAGTATGGGCCTCCTGCAGGGTTAAGAACTGCACATTATCTAAATAAACCCATTCGAGCTTGTCGGTGGCGTGATCCAGATCCATGATGGGCCTCTTCACTGTCAGTAAACTGCTTTTGATGACTCTTCTGCTCCAACTGACTAAAGAGGGTGAGTTCACGGTTGATCTCGTCATAGACTTTCTATTTTATTCTACTCATAACAATACTTTCTGGCTGGTTTCTGGCTGATTATTAACACAAAATTGTCTGTTGTAATATTGTCGGAGTGATGCATTAATAGACAGGGAAGGGGGGCAAAGAGGGGGGATTACATGCAGCAAAGCGTCACAGGTCGGATTCTAACCCGGGCCGGTGTGTATATGGGTCGCCAGCTCTACCAACTGAGCTAACCGGGTGCCCAACTATTTATCTTTGAGACCGATATGAGAATTGATGACTGATACAAAGTGTATATTTTTCCATATATATGATACAATGTGTTTTATTTTATCCATATATTTTTTATAAATAATAAAAATAATAATAATTGGAAATAGTTTACTGGACAATAATTCATGATGGCTCTAAAATAGTTGTGTTAGTGAGTACCTCAAAACAAGGTCACCAATCAGAAAACCCTGCATTACGTTCAGTAAAGAAGACTTTGATACCAGCTGAGGATATTTGCTGTGTTGATGTTTTGCCATCATTTGAAACTATTTTGTCCTCTCCAGATGAAGAGTGGAAGACACACACAACGACTGAACCTGACAGTTCAGTGCATTTCGGCGAGTTCTGCCTGCGTCTATCTGATGATTCTCACAGGACCAGCTCTCAATCAGTTACCCAGATACCCTCAAAGTCAGCTCACCCAACCAAACAGGCCACCCAACTGCCTGAACAGCCAACCACAGACCTAGCCCATCAAGACAGCCAGTCAGCCAGAGTCACGTTGAGACCCTTTTTTCTGACATCATTTGAACCAGCCCTGGTGCACAGTTGCGTACTGCAGATTTTAGGCTCTTGTGAAAGTTGTGTAAATGTGTCTTTTATGTCCTTCAAGTTAATGATGGATGTCGCTGCCAAGAGAAAGAGAAGAAATTTCCAAATGAAAACTCACTAATTCTTAAGGTTGTGATGCAGTTCCCCAGTGAAACATGTAACTCAACCGAAATCATGTAAGTGCTGTGTGTGTGTGTGTGTGTGTGTGTGTGTGTGTGTGTGTGTGTGTGTGTGTGTGTGTGTGTGCATGTGACATTAAGAGCATTAAACTTTATATGTTTTTAGCAATGTTAGCAGACAGTGACAGATATCTGTAACACATTAAAATCCCTGGTTTTCAAAATTCACATAATTAAAATAACATTTATAAGCGCTTCCATTTATCATGTTCTGCCTCACTCATTACACCTCACATTTAAATTCAACGCTGGTTTGTCAGTATGTGTGCGTCAGTCAATCGTGTTGTCAGTTGTAAGCCGATGTCTCTCAGGCTCTTTATGATAGAACCTGTCAGTATGCAGTTAGCGGTCATGCCGGAAACGAAGTTGATCTTTTCTAAAGAGGCAACAAAAAAGCTGCATTCATGGTGTCCATTGTGTTAAAAGTTGCAGTCGGTGTGTGTGTGTGCTAAGCGCTGAAATAATTGTCCCCCATCCTGATGAAATCGCCCATAGTGCATGAACTTGCCGGCCAGTTAAGGGTCCCAGTTTGGGGCAAGGTAATTATAGTTCACTAAAACTAAACTAAAAACAAAAACTAGGTGTGAAATAATTTTTTTGTTAACTGAAATAAAAATAAAAATTTGACTAAATTCTTTAGTTAAGTTAGGTTACATTTACCAACACAATGCATTGTTGCATAAGTTGCACATGCACATGCTTTGAGACAGCTATGTCTACATGACTGTGAGTCAATGTATTTGCAATCCTGTTCTGACAATTATCCACCATATTATAATAAAAACTAAAACTAACACTGAAACTAATTAAAACTAACTAAAACTAAAACATTTTTAAACAACAAAAACTTAAACCTGTAACCAGCAAACCCATTCTGGAAACTAACTAAAACTAAAGTTAACAAAAAGAAAAAAGAAAGCTAATTAGAAATACCCTATGTTAGCAGCGTGATTCTAGGAATGTCCACCATTTTCCCATCTGCCTCAGCTAGGGTGACCAGATGTAACCATCCCTGAATTATGAGCAGCTGTCCCATATCGTGTCCTGTTTGTCCCAAAAATTACTGTATATAGTTAAATTATTCGATATGAATGAGCTAAAATGACAGCTGTCTGTTGGATGAGACTTGGCTTGACTTGAGACTTGAAGACAAAAATGTTGAGGAGACCTGACTGGGTGGCACAGTAATATTGAAAAATGTTCTGTGCTGCCAAATTGTCACAAATAATGGATTACAAATGCCAGAGATACATATAAAAAGCTGCTGCTGTCATCATACGTATTATTAGATCAATAGATTTTTACTCTCTGAATCTATGAAAATATTATTATATTATGTTATGTTGGCAATCATTTACTGCTTTTAGTTGACTGTGAACTGCAAGATAAATTGACCCCTAACTCTTGTTTTCCAGTGGGACAGCGAAGGACGGCAGCGATGTTTGTCTGCATATACCCAGCTTTTTAGAATACTACATTGAATTGTCACGGTAAGTCTGTATTACCTGATATCGAACTTCTCATAGATTTCACCAGTAACAGCTCAGTATAGATTTGTCTGATAAACTTCCATCTTAATCAAAGTATCTATGTAAAGTTAGATAATATTAGCCACAAGAAACTACTGATCATACAGGCACAAGTAAAGCTGTGGCATCAAGATCTCAGAGTGTATTTAATGGGACAAGAGCGCATTTTATTGTTTATGAATTAAAGTAAGTTTTTACTTCTTTAAAAAGTTACATCGTCTATCTTTATATGTGTGTGTGATTTTAGGCAGTCGCACTTCATCAATCCATCAAGTCAACTCCAGTTTTTTCTGTGACAGAAAACAACCAATTCCATGAAAAAAAAATCAGAAGTGTCGGCTCAATGTGAGTTGTGCCATTAAAGAGTGATTTAAATTTAATTTAACATGATGAGAAATATCTAGCAGAATTAAGTAGATTAAAGGTTTGTCTCGTGTGGCTTGACAGGTGAATCCTGCAACTTCATAACAAACTTGGACAGTGTTGACCCAAAGACTGTTCAGTCCCTGAATGTGAAGATGCAGTCATTTCCCTGTCCTGTCCGTATTCAGTAAGGTTCCCATGACTATATTTCACAAATTAGAGTTTTATGAAGGTGTTCTACTAATTCATTCTGTCCTTATTTTCTTATTTTTAACCAAAATGTTTTATGATGTTAAAGAAGAATGGTGGATGACCGTGATTGACTGATATCTATAACCTGAAAACTCAAATTCAAATTCACATTGGCCTTAATTTGTCTGTATAACTGTGGTATCATCATGTAAAGAGAATTAAATAATGTCTCATCCTGAAAAATGACTCAGATTTCTGTTTGGACACAAACCAGTTCGATACATTGCTGAAGAAACTGGAAACCCCCCCTCCCCATGAAGATCATATTGACCAGACTCTGACAAACAGTTTGTAAAAATGTCCTTTTTGCATTTGTTTGGATGTTATTTCTACAATGAGAGACTTAAAGACTTGTCCAACCAACTATACAAAAGTATGCCCTGAAGCGTTTCTGTAAACAGCTTTCTAATAAATATAGTAACTTCTGATCAACCCATATCAATTTCAGGGATTAGCCACACCCACTGCAGGTTTACATACTACCCTCGTCTAGTTTAAGCCACCCCCGATTATGGACATAGATAATTTAGTTGTTTAAACAGATACAGATAATGGTGTAAAAAACTGAACTTGAAATTAGTAAATATTTGATTTTCTTTTATTCAACTAATTGATTAATCAACGAGTCGTACCAGCTCTAAACCACATATATACTGTACATCTACATTGTGAAAGTTGTCTTCTATCTCCCTCAAGTCACAGATGGATGTCGCTGCCAAGAGAAAGAGGAGAAATCACCAAATCCTTGTAATTATGAAGGTTTCATCATAATTACAAGGATTTGGCCCCCCAGTGAAACATGCAACTGAACTGAATTCATGTAAGTGAATGTATTTTTTGAAACTCTTATTACAAACTAAATTGACCCAAACTCTTGTTTTCCAGCGAGACACTGACGGGTGGGAAGGAGGTGTGTGTGACTGCAGCTAGCCTCTTAGCACACTTTGACTTTGCCTCACCGTAAGTTAATAATATCTGTTACACACATGCACAAAGTTAGAACTGTCAGTTATTTTTGCATAATATCAAATGTGAATTTGAGTTCAAAATATTTAACAAAAAACACTTCGACAGTCATTTACACAATAACTACGAAAAGTCGGAATGCGAGTAGCTCATTATAACTGTTGATTTCAACCCATTCAACTAATTCAGTCGAATTTTCTCCAAAAAAGATTGCTGTAACACACCTTATAAAACCTTATATTTAGCCTGAAACATATCAAATTATAAAACATCTGATTTCACTAGTGGTAGATAGCCATGCAGATAAAGTAGTTTTATTATATTTGGTTTTAAGTTTTTTATTTGGTTTGAGTTGACTCAGCAGGAACTCAAGTTCTTTCTGTTATTTCCCTCCAGTCTCCCCAAATTGAAACATTTTCAACTTGCATGGACATGTCCTTGCATCAATTTGCAGCACCCTGGGTAAAAAGTGGCTTTATGTTCTGTCTGTCTACATTGCAAGAAGATAAAGACCATTGATGACCATTGGAAGTGGGGCGTAAATGTGAAGTAAATGTGCTTTGTTAATGCCCACTACTGACATCTGGACAAATAAAACCAACTGCATGCATGGAGCCCCTGTAGCACGGAGATCATCATATCATTCTGTCTTGTGTTACTTTACAAAAAACTGGTTCACTTTGAACCGGCTTGTTCACGACTGACACATCACTACTCAGTACTGTGAACATTGTATGGTCGGCTAAAACCAGAATATCTGCATGGTTGTGAACCACAGGAAGGAGGAGAGAATCGATCTGACCCTTTTAAAAAATATAAAATGAAGAAAGGCAGATGTACTACTTAATATAATCACACTTTTTCTGTTTCTGTGACTCAGATGTTAACCATTTCCTTCCTGATAACCTGGTGGATGTGTTCTGAATGTAACATCAGTAATCATTTCCTGTAAGTTACCTTGTTGATAATACTGCATTACTCAACCTACCCCCAGCCTCTGGACTGAGACTGAGCCTAAATCCGATCGAGAGTAAGTTTTTGCCTGGATACACCAACATCACATTTTGAAAAAATACATTAATTCCTAAAGTATGCTAATTATGATTTCTTATGTCAGATCAGTCCCTGTGTCACACACACTACGACCTCTGTCAGTTTCGCACTTTCAATCTGTCCATTATTTATCATAAATACAACTATATAGTCCACACAGTGCCATCAGTTGAGTACTGCATGTGTGTGCCAGAGGGTGGGGGTGAAGCATTCCTCATTAAAAACAAATAAAAACTGCATACACATATACTTGGAAACATCATAGATTATTCACAGATTTTTTGAGGGAGTCTTGGTAATACAATTACTGGAATTCTTCTGGAAAAAGTCTAATAACTTCAGTTGAGATTAACTACTGGGATCAAAATGAACTGACACCTTAATGAAGTGACTGTATATATAATTTACTAACTCTAAAATGTCTATTTTGTGTTAAGTTACTGTTTAAATGTTTGTCTTGTATGTAGTCATAAGGCCCTGCGCAGTCTGTGGTGGGTTCCTGGGCAACTTTGACCCAAAGGATGTGCTGTCCCTGGAGATGGATGAGCCATCATTTCACTGTCCTAACCTCACTTTGTAAGTCAGCAGCTACTGTGACCACGGAGTGTAAATGTTAGGGACTGATTGACATCTTTTTGAAAGCTTTTCAAAACATCAAATCAATCCTGATCAAGAGGTGACATGGTGGCCATTTGCAGATAAGCACCCTATACTGTATTTATAATATTTGTCTTCTGGTTCACAGTGTCACCCTGAAAAATGGAGAGCGATTTTGTGTGGACTTGTCCAACCCGGAGATCAGGACTGTGCTGGAGAAGTTGGAAATTCAAGCCTCCTGAGGAAAAAGCCTTAAATGTGAAAGTTAATGTTCCTTTGATCCAGTGGGGGAGGAACTACAGGGTGGGGTACTTCTGGAGAACCAGGGTGTGGTGTGGGGGTGATGCTATCCAATTTATTTGTGAGGTTATTGTTTTCCTTCATGTTTAGATACATAAATGTATTCTCTTTTTTAATATTACAGTGATAGACAAGGTATGAAAAAATATTTCTCATGTAGGTGGAAGGAATTTATTTGTTTTCAAATATTTTGTATTTTTCTTAAAATCAATGTTATTATAAGCAATTAAATATAAACTATGATATTTAATACATTAAATGTTCCATCCAATTAAAGGTCCAGTGTGTAACATTTAGGAGGATCGTCTGTCAGAAATGGAGTATTATATTCATAGACAAGTTTCATTTTCAAGTAGCTTCATTCTGATCCAGAAAGCACAAGATCAATATAACAGAATCTAGATTTGCAGTCTTTGGATAGGCATCCAGCTGTTAAAGTAATAAAACATTTAATTGGCAAAGCTGTGAAAGTGTTGGGAAGTGTAAATCAGTTTATATATTATTCATATTTACTTATCTGGATTATTGTTTAAAACGTTTAGTAGTTTAGTTTCCATTAGTTTTTTTTTTAATTATTATTATTATATCTGAAGTATTTCTCAGGGCCAAGAATGGACTCACAGTCATGTAGACATCCCAGTCTCTATAAACATATGCACCAATGCCTCCTCATGCTTGTTGTATTGCCAAATTTGACCAAAATAAAAGACTAAAACAAAAGTTTATTTTATATATGCATATATGTTATTTTATTTTAGTTCATTTTTTAAGCACACACTATCATTTCATTTTTCATCAAAGTCTAGTTTTAATTAATTTTACGACCATGGCCTCTACATCCACCCTTCCAGTGGGATCAGGATTTTAGCATCAAAACTATCGTAATCTCCACCTTTTAAAATACCCCAAATCAACATTTGACCTGGATTCTGGGTAGGACTGGATTACCAAATCCAGAATCAGAATCAGAAATACTTTAATAATCCCCGGGGGGAAATTACTTTAAAGAAATTACCAGTTTTGTAGGATCAGGATCACGTCACCCACTTTTGAGATTTAAGCCTACCCAGAGACTTCTGATCTCGATTAAATAATGAAATACTGGGCCCTGAATGCTTTTGCATGTATGTTTCTGTCCCTTTAAGTGCCAGCATCAGAGCATGTGTACTTACAGAGTACAGATACGGTAGCGGCTGTAGAACTAGTCTCAGGTCCCATTTCCCTTCCCATCCTCACTGTGAGAAGAAGACTGAAACAATGAGCCAAGCTTGATGTATATCAGCTCTCAAAAGAAATTGACAAATGATTTTGTGTTCTACAGAGAACCAGAAGGCCAAGAATTATTCATGTCTTCAAAAAAATTGTCAATGTCCCTAACAGATGTCTGCATATACACTATAACAATAGTGCCATCTTCTGACTGCAAGTGAAAACAGAATGAGATGGTAAACCAGAGTTTCTACTTGTATGTATTTCTGGTCAGATAAAACTAATTTATTCGTATTGATTTGAATCGGCACTGTGGGTAAACCATTTTAAAATAAAATTAAAGTAATAGGGAAATATTTCTGAGATGAGAAGATTGATATAATTTCCATGTCTGTGGTTAGCTTAGCTTATCATACAGACTGGAACCAGGGGTAAAAAAAAAAACCAAGATTGCTTTTTTAAATTTTTTTTTTTTTAACCTCTTATTATAAGAGGTTCAAAAATAGCACAAGACTATAAGCCACACTAAGCCAGGCCATTGTTCGCCTTGAAATATACCACATATAAAGTATATCTTCTTCTTATATCAACATACAATATGCTAATGTGTGCTATTTTCTTTACTTTGGCTCAACCTAGCTGTTTACCTCCACTCTTTATGCTAAGCTAAGCTTTAGCATAAAGAGTGCTCCAGCTCCATACATAGCACACAAACTTCTCATCCAACTCTCAGCCAGAAAGTGAACAAATGTTTTTCGGCGTTATCAATCTTTTTTTTTTAATCAAACTTAGCCTAAAAACTAATAAACATATTTTTCAAAATGTAATTAAATGTAAATATGTAATGTAATATTAATCTAAACTCCCTGTTAATCATTGTATTGTCCAATGTAGAAAAAAAAGACTAAGATGTTTTGGCTGATACTTTGCAATCAGTCATTTATTCCTTCAATAATTTGTCTCCCTATTCTTCTTCCATCTGCCACAGCTGAAGACAATCTCCGCTTGCCGGCCCTTCAGATTCTCCAGTCGTTCCTGCAGTTGGTCGGAGGCGTCCACAGTGTCCTCAAAGTCCCGCAGCAGGACCCTGTTCCCCAGCAGTCCACGACGCTCCTTCAGCCTCAGGTTGTCTCTCTGCAGGCTGTTGCGTGCCTGCTTTGTCCTGCTCAGGAGGTCCCTCTTCTTGGCCACAGTGGCCTCCACCTCGGCAAGCTGCTCTCGCTTGGCCTGGACCTCCATCTGGCTCCAGGACAGCTTCTCTTTTATGTTTGACAGGAGCTGATGAAGCCGAAGAAAACACACTGTTATTAACCGAAAATCTGATTTTATGAAGCAGCTACAGCTACTTTGATTTGCGCTTGTACCTGTGGATTCTTCAGCCTACCTCCAAGCTGCTGCTGATCTTTTTCTGCATCTTTAACGACTCCTCGTGTTGCTTTTCGGCCTGTTTTTTCAGCTCCAGCCTCTCAGCCTGCAGGTGCTCAAACTGGAGCTGTAAGGGGTCCCTGGCGTGTTCTTCCCCGTCACGGAGCTCTGCCTCCAGCCTGTGAATCTTGCTCCTCAGCTTGATGTGCTTGAGGCGCAGCTTGATCAGCTCGTCCTGGCGAAGCTGCTCTGCTGCCAGGATTGACACAACTTTGGCCTGAGCGGCTTGTTTACCCAGGCGTCGGCTTAGAGCTGTCACGGCTACGTCCTGCTTCAGTGCCATGAACGCTCGCCATTCATTTTCTACCTGTGGACGAAGATGAGACAGTTTTGCCCACTGATCAGTACAACATAAGACACACAATCAACACCCACTGGGCACCTGCAGTGGTCCCCTAATTTGGGTGCTGACGTATTTATGTGCAGTCATATGAAAATACGTGCAGGGTACTTGCTAAATGTTTCAATTGCCATTTCTAATAACAGTACACTGGGTTCCCACATGGTTTAAAAATACAGTTGTTTCCAGACTTTTGAGTTGTATAGGTGTATTGTTTGTTCCTAAAGCATTTCCTTGTTCACATAGTGCTGAGAGCAGTGTCTACGTGGCTCAGTATGCCTGTCACATCCACCCAGCTCACTGTAGACCCCTTGTACTCCTTCTCCCTGGAGAGATAGGAGACCACTGAAGCCCCTGGAAACTTGAGCTCAAATCTTAAAGATGCCCTCCAGACATGTATTAAGAGTAAGTAAAGTACTCTTGGATTGTGTCTCTGATATGTTTTTTTCTGCAAAAAAAGTATAATTTCTACATTAAAACCCTGTTTATACCTCATTAACAATTCCAGAATCTATAATTATGTACATTCATACACAAGATGTCTCCTACTTCACTGTAAAGTCCATTCTCAGTGGATGTACACTGGCGGCTTCAAGTTTCTACATCACACTCACAAGTTGCATACTAGACCAGGATTAAGGTTGACATCCTTAGTTGTTATTAATTTATTATTACATTTTAAACCTGTCCATCAGGACCTTGTGGGTGTGGTTTGATTAGATTTGATTGATAGTGCTAGATTGTTGCACAGAAACATGTGACATCACCTTTTACCAACTGAGCCAAAAACTGAAATTTTCATATAGGACACCATATTTGTCCTCTTTTTCCTTTCCTTTGTCACTGTGAACTTACTACATAACCAGAACTTGTTTATAATTAGTATGAGCCCGACTGAGATGAGATTTTTGAGACTGATACTTTTTGATTTTTTTGAATAAAAATAGGGCTTTTCTATCCAGATCTTTTGCACCAGTTTATTACCAACGTACTCAGAAGGCTGCTTTCTTTAACAAATAACTTTATTATGGAGTATTTAAGTTACATATTATTTAACATGTTAAGCGGTTTAACATTGTCAACCAATTCCATTCAGGCCCAAGTGTAAAATTGGGTTAAATTGCACACTATGTACCAATATATCTCTTCTTAAAAAAAGTCAATTTATTAATGTTAGTCCTAATTTTATTTCTGCTTTATCTATTTTATTATATTTTAACTTGTTTTATCATATCTTATTTTTTATATTTTAACAAAACTTTTGTGCACTTTCCAACATTTTTAAATGGGAAATTATCAATTTCTTTTTTTTTTAGAAAACCTGCATAAACAAACATTAACACCAACCTTGTCCAGCTTCTCTTGGGACTGTAAGCTCAGCTCCTCTGCCTGCTGCTGAGCTGTCTCTGAGTCAGCAGTGAGCTGCTGCTTCAGGTCAGTCAGGAGGTGAATGTGTCTCTCATACTCCTGCAGCTGCTCTGACCCCGGCAGCTCCCTCTCCAGCTCAACATCGTCCCCGGCCTTCTTGCGGAAGTACTCAGCCAGCTTCATCTGCAGCTGGCTGCTGTGTAGGCTGGCTTTATCTCTCTCCTCACACAGCTCCTGCAGGAGCTTCATGTATTCTTCATAGTTGATGTCCTCCTTGTCTGCAGGGGCAGCAGCAGCAGCAGTGGGTTCCTCTTCTTCAGCCTCGTCTTCCTCCTCCTGTGTAGGACTGATGTTCTCCCTCTCCGGGCTCTCGAGGTGCAGTCTGGGAGAGCCATTGTCCTCGTTGCTGTTAACCTCAAAAACAACACTCTCCTGATTGGACATTGTCTGTCCATTCACTTCATTCATGGTCACATCCACGTCTTCACTTGTGGTGATGTTGTCGACAGCAGGGAGCTCATCCAGTCTGTTCTCTTCTGGCTCAGAGGGGGCTGCTTCTTCAACGGGGGCCTCTTCAGTGACCCTCAAACTTTCAGAGTGTTCTTCATCATCACCTGATGCAGCCATTTCAGCTGGGACACCTTCGTGACTATTAACAGTTAGTTCCTCCTCATTGGAGGTTTCTGCTAACACCACCCTGTCTGTGTCATTCTTCACCTCACTCTCTTCATTTTCTGGCTCTCCGTCCATTTTTCAATAGAAAACAAATAAGTTGAAGTATTATTCAATGTGTCTACAGCTATAGGGCTTGTTCACTTCTGTAGTCAATGAAACTGTTCGTTTTGTTTCGGTTGTCCTGGAAACTGGCTTCGGGAGCCAATCAGAGGCGGCGCTGGCCTTGTCGCTCATTAATATTACGAAGCAGGATGTGAGTAGGTCGCGCGGCGAGCCTCGCCGTGCGCAGGCGCGTAGCTCTGCCTCCAACAACAAGAAGCAGGAGCCAGGCAACATGGCCGACCTGGGGAAGAAGTACTGCGTGAACTGCCTTGCAGATGTTACAAACCTGCGGCTTCGCTGCACCGACTGCCCCGATATCGAGCTGTGCCCGGAGTGCTTCTCGGCGGGCGCAGAAATCGGTAACCACCGGAGATGGCACGGCTACCAGCAGGTCGACGGCGGTCGGTTCTCTCTCTGGGGTCCCGAGGCAGAGGGAGGATGGACCAGCAGGGAAGAGCAGTCGCTACTCGATGCTATCGAGCAATATGGATTTGGAAACTGGGTATTTTTAAGTTACTTAACTTAATGTTTCTCTACAATACGACAAATATGGCCACAAGTGTTTTGTTGAAAGTGCTCGTCAAACATGAAGAGTAAAAGTTAGCTGGTAGCGATGATGTTACGGTAACGATAACGACCTTTATGACAATCCATGTTCCTATCGCACTGTCGTAAAAGTTGGACGAGTTTAAATATGAGTGGGATGTTTCAACTTCTGTAACTCCTGACTTCTACACAACCCCACAATTATTTGAACACAATATAAAACAAAAGTTTTAACAGAATCTTTATTTTATATTACAGGCTCAAAAAGGAAGACGTTATTATATTTCACATTGAGAGTAGGAGCTTACGAGTTGCACCCAAAAATACAGCAGCCAACGTACATACCCTCAGGTTGAGCATGAAAAATACAGTGAGGAACATGTGTCCATAGTCACAGTGTATGCAGTGTTAATGATGGTAATATACTGCACAGTCAGTTATAGTACGAGGAGGTTAGGCAGTTGTAACCTGTTTGTAGAGGAGAGCTCTGAATTTGTGATATATTTTATTTCTACATCTCATTCTTTAACATTGGACGTTTTTTTCTTTAAGGAGCCCTTTTGTATATTTTATGCATATTTCATATTATATTCAATGCATAACTAAAACAGTAGAGAACAGCTGATACAATGGCCCCAAACAGTTAATAACTGCAGGAAGTTTGTGTAAAACCACAGATTTGACTGATTTCCTGTGATAGTTGCATCAGAGATATTTTTAGGACATTTTTATACAACTCTCTGTCTGTCCATAAAAACAACAACAATTGTCTAACAATCATATATACTTAATCGGCATCCTTTTGACTAATCCAGTGTGTCCTCCTCATTATTCTATCAGCTCCTTGGTTGTTTTAAGTTTTCTAAAGCAGGACGAGGCTGTTAAGCAGAGAGGGAAGGCTCTGTTAATATGGCCTGTGTTCAGGTTCAAGTTTATATCATAAAAAATAATCTAAACTTTAAAAATAACTATCATTTAGTTTTCTGCACAGAAATGAATGATACATGAGATACAGGCCAATTGTGTATATATATATATATATATATATATGAAAAAAAAAGGTTTTCTTATACCTCAAAACACCTTACACCTTAAAATCAAAAAGACCTCTGGACCCCTAGTGGGGGTCTGGTACCACAGGTCAAACCTGAGTTCTTGGCAATGTACTGTAAAAAAAAAGCCCTTATAATTTGGCACTAATAATTGGAAATTCCTTGAAAGAATAGCTAAATCTAAACCCTTGTAAACATTAATTCATCATTTAGTTCAGCTGACTTTACTTTTCCCTATTGTTGTTTTTAAATAAACAACATAGTTCTTTCCTGGAAACTATTTGGAACATTAAAATAAAATGTTAACAAAAATTGTGAAATATCACGATTTCCCAGAGCCTAGGGTGACAGTCCAAAACTGGAAGGTATTCAATTTACAAACATGTTAAAGACAGAAAAGCAGAAATTCCTCACATTTGAGAAGCAGGGACCAGAGGCTGTTTTGCATTTTTGCTATAGATTATTTAAATATTGATAACCAAACAATGTTGCCAATTGATTATTTCTTTCAGAACTACTCTGGACTGTAGTCTGGTAAATAACATTATGAGCAGCATGCTGTTGTATTTCTTCCTCTGTGTTCATTAATAACAACTTCCTGTGCCTGTTGTCTTCCAGGAGGACATGGCCACTCACGTCGGAGCATCCCGAACTCCTCAGGAAGTCATGGAACACTATGTCACCATGTACATCCATGGAAATCTGGGTAAGGCTTGCATCCCTGACAGCATTCCCAACCGGGTGACCGACCACACCTGCCCAAGTGGGGGTCCCTTGTCGCCCAGTCTCACCACCCCGCTCCCTCCGCTGGACATCAGCCTGGCTGAGCAGCAGCAGCTGGGCTACATGCCGCTACGCGACGACTATGAGATTGAATATGACCAGGATGCAGAGAAGCTCATCAGTGGGCTGTCTGTGAACTACGACGACGAGGATGTGGAAATTGAAATGAAACGTGCCCATGTGGACATGTATGTGCGCAAGCTCAGAGAACGCCAGCGACGTAAGAACATCGCACGAGACTACAACCTGGTGCCCGCGTTCCTGGGCAGAGACAAGAAAGACAAGGAGAAAGAGAAACCAGGAACGCTGGGAGTTGTAGGCACTGCTGGTGGTGTGGGTGGGGCAGGAGCTGGTGGTGGCACAGTCGGATCAGGTTCCACAACAGCAGCAGGATCAGGTCCGGTTCCAAGCACACCCAAAAGAAAGATCACCAAGGAAGAGAAGGAGCAGCGGGTCCGGCTGCGGGGGCTCTGCCAGTTCATGGCCCATCGGGAGTTTGAGGACTTCTTTGAGAACATGCATAAAGAGCGCGTGCTGAGGGCCAAGGTGCGTGAGCTGCAGCGCTACCGGCGCAATGGCATCACCCGTCTGGAAGAGTCTGCTGAATATGAAGCCGCACGACACAAACGGGAGAAACGCAAGGAGAACAAGAGTGTGGTCACCTCCAAACGGGGCAGCGGAGGAGGGGGCGGGCTTGGCTCTGGGATGGGACTCGGGGGTGGAGCTGGAGGGGGAGGAGGTGTCGCTGGAGGATTAGGGGTTGGTGGTGGGATCAAAGAAGAGGGCAAGGATGGCGAGTTTGCCGCCATCGAGAATCTGACAGGCTTTGAGCTGCTGTCAGACAGGGAGAAGGTGCTGTGTAACTCTCTGAACCTCAGCCCAGCTCGGTACCTGACTGTCAAAACCATCATCATCAAAGATCACCTGCAGAAAAGGCAAGGCATCCCGGCCAAGAGCCGGTTGCCTAGCTACCTGGACAAGGTCCTCAAGAAGCGCATTCTCACCTTCCTCACAGAAAGTGGATGGATATCCCGAGATGCCTCTTAGCAGTCCGTCTTTTGTCCGGAAGTAATGAGCTGATGATCGCTGAAAGCTGATTTGCAAGCTCTGTAGGCGGGAAAAACTACTGGCATTCACCTTTTTTTTTTTTTTTTTTTAAGGTGACCTTGTGAATATGTACATTGCAAAGGAAGAAGATGCCCCACTAGAAAAAAGTATATTTTCATACCTGGGCTAGGAACAAAAATAAGTCTTTATTTTTACATTTGGAATGGGACAGGGGTGAAAAAGTTCTTTGTGCCCATATTTGATGGTAACTATGATGCTAACAAGTATTGCGTAGATGCAGAGATATTTTAGTGTTCTTACAACAGGCTCATTGAAGATGTCTATGGAGAAATACTATTTAGAATCCAAACAGCTGCAGGGCAAAAGCCATTTCATGCTGAAAAGACAGGGAAATAAGAAAGGGTAAATGTCTGACAGCATGGCACTGAAGGGTGACAGAAATAATCACTGTTGTTATTTTCCAGGCTCTCTCAAACTCAAAAGCTAATTTGGTCAATTTGGTAATCGTTTCGTCAGTTAAAGCCGGACTTGTCATGCAACTTGAGTAATCTGTCAATTCTCTGTCCTATTTTTCCCTTCTTACTGCCTACAATGAAGGAAAAGAAAAAGCAGGAGGGTTCAACCGTCGTCTAGCTTTCTGTGGCACGAGTACACAGTACAGAAATGCCAAAGAGTATGCTGAGAGATAAATTAGAAACAGTGTTGCCATTACATAGTCTGTCCACCAAAGGGCGCTGGCAGGTTTTTTTTTTTTGACTGTAGAATGTCCCACCCAGTTGGTCACAGTTCTTTATAATGTTACTGTGTTGAAAAAAACTAGCATCAGCTGATATATAACTCTTAAAGCCCCTGAACACTTGGGATAAGATCTTGCGTATTTTTCTGTAGCATTACAAATCCATGCTAAATAATCCCAAGTTTAAAAAGCATCTTTAGGTATTATTTATGAAGAGTTTAACACTCAAAAACTCAGCTCATCCGCTTTGTCAGGACTGCGTGGGTGTGATTTGATGGACAGCGACCAAAACAACCGACCCAACAAGCCACACCCAATCAAAACCAGCAAGAAGAGCAAAGAGGAAGAAGAAGAAATGTGTGAGAGTATCCATAGCGAGAGAGATCGTTTTCAGGGCCTTTTAAATTGGCCTAGAAAATCCTGTATGGGTCGGACTCTAATCTGTATTTATTTACATGTTTAAGTGTGTCAACAGAAATTCAAATGGAGGAGAAACTCTTTTCCTCCACGTTGAATTTGACCCAAAATGTATTTATTTTTACAGAAGCATCCAGTGCAGCTTTAAATGTTCTACTGTCCACATACAAGTGAAGAAGCTGAACGTGTGCAGGCATCAACCAATAATACTTTAAAGGCTTCAGTACAATTCCAAAATGATAGTTTTTTTTGTTTACCAAGTGTGTATGCATGGCGGGCTAATATTACACCTCTTTACCTTCCACACTGAGATGGCAGTGTTTCTCCTCATCGCATGCTTTTGAGTTTGCTCATGCTAGATCTGCAACTAATAATTCTTTTCATTATCGAATAATCTGTCGATCACTTTCTACATTAATAGATTAGTTGTTGGGGTCGTAAAAAATGTGAAAAATGTTTGTCACTGTTTCCCAAACACATTCAGTTTACTGTCATCGAGGACTAAAGACACCAGAGAATATTCATATTTGAGAAGCTGAAATCAAGAGAATTTGGACGTTTTTTTTCTTCTTCATTAATCGATTATCAAAAGAGTTGGCAGTTTATTTAATATTTGATAACTAATCGATGAATCAACTAATTGTTGCAGCTCTAACACTAAACACCGGCCCACTTCACATGCTTCCCAGATGGTCTGTCAAAGCAGATGTTACCTGAAGCCTATCATTAGTTTTTCAAAGGTACCTTCACTTTGTCTCGAGGGCAGAGCCATTAGCAGCAGCACTGGTGACTCATTCTCGTTTTGCTGCTTTTACTGCGAGCCGAGCTGAGCGGCGGCCATTGTGCTATTTAAATGTAAATGAAGTTATTGAATCGGCTGTCATTTCACAGCAGGAGCTCTAAAATCACAGAGAAGAAAGGCATGCGAATGTGTGGATGTTACCTAAGCTGGAATATGTGCTAGATTCATATTCTTGGCCTCTTTCCTGCGTCTGTATCTGAAAAGTTTTGGGGTGAAATGCAGGTAATGAGTGGCGTTAGTTCAGAAGTGATAGGCGTTGCATTAAAAGGGGATCTTTTTTTGTAGTCACCAGAGAGGAATGGGCTCCTCTTTGTTGTAGAACTCGTTGTAGACGTGAGATTGTGGATCAACTGTGGAGGGTGTTAAGATTCTGTTATGATCAAAATCATTCTTACTCATATTTCCTCAATGTGGTGCTCCAAACCATGTCCTATTGTAGTCAAACACTACAGCAGATGTTAGGGGATAGCAGGTTTATTCTATACTTCTCATATTGTCAACAAATCCCATGAATAGACCAAAACCAACAATGAATTGATTCTACCATCAAGTGTTGTTTGGCTGCCCAAAGCCTGATATAAACCCATCAGTGAGTGAGCATCATGTTCCTCCATTACCATGAGCGCACACACACTGCTTAGTTTATTTAGACTCTGTCCCACACACACTGTCCCGCTAGCGCTCCAATGCATTAAACCGCGGCTGAAGGCTGTCTCCAACAAATGCACTGTTTTCTCCTGTTTGTTGAAAACTGTCTATAACAAAAAACAAGAAGCTGTTTTACAGAAATGAATGAGCCTTTATGAAAAAGTACATATTCATGACACATTCTTCTAGAAGACTTACGTCCTCCATAGGAACCAGTGGGCTTGGGGCTGAATGCTGCAGAGAGAGAAGGGGAGTTGGAAACAAGGTGCGAACCTTTCTTTTCATGGGATTTGTTGACAGTAATAAAAAAGATTTACTATTCATCCAAGTGCTTTTCAGCTTGCGTTTTGTTAATCGACTCCGGGCCTGTGGTACATTTAGAGCAGTGGTTCTCAACCTTTTTGCTGTCAAGGACCCCCAAACTGATACACATCACATGTGGACCTGTATTTGATAAGTAGTCTCAGGGATCCCTGTCTGATAAGCTTTAGTTATTCCCTAACTGTCTGTACTGTAGAGTGGCAGATTAACAGTGAGGAGTGTGAAACCCACATCATAGTCACTCTTTACATTTTCTTGTTGGGCTAATGTTTAGTCAATGGAATAATAGTAAAATTAAAATGTTTACCAAATTTCTGGGGACCACCTAAAGGACCCACGGGGGTTTCCCCCAAGTTGAGAACCACCGATTTAAAGAACCACAGACCTCATGGTAAACATTAAATATTATCTTTCCAGCTTTCGTAGCAGGTCAACTCCAGTACATAGATGTTTCCTAGATTACTGCCGCTGGAGTTGGAGTTGTGTGTATTATCACCTGTAGTGTGTGTGTTGATGGTGCAGATTTAAGCATTTGATGTTGAAGCTGAGTATGAGCATTGTGTTGGTGTTGGAATGTTCTAGAAAGGCGACGCTGATTTCCAGCCTATAAACCAAACAACAATGACCTAAAACTGTCAGTTGAATTTGATGGTTCTCCTTTGTTTTGTTATCAGTCCCTCCAGGATTTCACAGGCTTTTTTGGGGGGATTGTTGCGACCTAAAATGCCTGATTTCACGGCAGCTTTTCTAAAACAAAAATTGCAATGCATCTTGCGATGTTTTTGCGGGAGAAAGTAAAAATTGCAAAAATAGTTGCGATTATGTTTTGTTTTATTTTTATAATTCATTAAAGGTCCAGTGTGTAGGATTTAGTGGCATCTGGAGCCAGTGTTTGGTTTGTCCCCACTGGGCTACCATAGGAAACATGGCGGACTCCATGAAAGGTGACCTGTGATAGACATAAAAGACTCGATTCTAAGGTAACAGAAATAAAATGATTCCTATATTCAGGTGATTATCCACTACTGAAAACCTACCTTAGATCCTCCTCAATGTTACACACTGGACCTTTAAACATTGATGGCAGCTTGTTCCACTGTTTGGAGGGTAAAAGTGACACGTTTGCGTCGCACATGTCTACATGCTCTGGGTCATTGCTAGAAACAAGGAAGTGAATTTGGTGATGTATGACTCAGCGTTTTGTGCAGAAAACTAAAATCTTTGGTCAGATTTGCGGTGACAGGACAAAATTGCAAGGTTGCACAGAATTGGCAGGGATTGGTTGAATTAGCGTTAATTGTTGTGATCGCAGCTTCCTGGAGGGACTGGTTTATTCCTTTTGATAGCCGGTAGTTTGAGATTTTGTTTTTCAAGGACTTTTTTCTCCCCCATATTTTGACAGTGGCGTCGTTCTGCATGTGCATCCAAATGTTCCACATTGTTCAATATGGTGTGTTTCGGTGTAAATGTCTCAAAGGAAAATATGACAGTTTGATTTTTTTTTTCCCAATGGGGGAATATTTTTTGTAAAGGGGGGGTTTCTTACTTTCTGTCACCAAATGTAAATTTTGTAAGATAAATTGGAAAAAGAAACTATAATTACTGACCTGTGAAATGTACAGTATTTTGTGTCCTGGAGAGTTTTATAGCTTTTGTAATAAAAAACAGATTTTGGATTACAAAGAAGCATTTTGTGAAGCTTTGGGTATAGTGATGGCATGCTGTTGAGCTGTTACCAGTCTGATACTGTTGAGCTGTTCTGTTGTTGCACATGACAAGGTATGTATAGAGATGTATTAAAAGTGCACATACTTTATAATTCTAAATAGTCCTGTTTCCTCGTCAGTAATTTGCAGTAATGTGTGAACCTTAACGGGGAAAAAAGTAAACCCAAATCACAAAATGTCAGCTTTTGTTGTCAATAGGGTGACAGAGAGAGGGCTTGTTAGTCAAGCTGCACCTGTGGACCAAGTCTAAAGAGTTACACAAGAGCAGCATGTTAATGAGACTACACTGTTAGTACAACTGAAACAACACGTGACAAGGCGCCTTTCAAAGTCGGTTACTTTATTCTGATGCTGATAATTTGGACAATGGTCCTTTCAAAATTATTCTAATGGTTTACGGATAAAGACGTTACAATGACTGAGGCTGGCCTACCAAAAGAACGAGAGAAAGGTGTAGGGATGGGATGATATACGATATTATGGCGATAAAAACATTCAGATAAATGTATCTTGGTGATCTTCTCATGGCTTGACTTGAAAAAGCTGTCTAGCTCACCAGCATACAGTCTTATATTTGTTTCCTGCTTTGTCACCATGGCTGAAAGATCTGCCTGTTGTATCCCCCACAAAAAATATGTTAAGACAGATGTGTGGAAATTGTATAGATTCCAAAATAAAAAAAAACAGGAAGCTGAGGTGCAGATCTGATGTGAATATGTGTTTAGTGTAAAGTGATTCATGTTTCACTGCCATTTTAAAAGTAGATACATGCACATTTTCATGATTATCGTCATAATATCGTGTATCACAATTATTTTGGCCAAAATAATTGACATGAAATTTTTATATCATCCCATGCCTAGAAAGGTGTTTACCATAAAGGCTTTTGGGAAGCCCACCTCTGTACACACATCTCAAACCTTTGTTCAGGTCCTCAAGTACTGCCCCTTGCTTTCTTCACACTCACAAACAAGAAAAGACAACTGAGGAGTCAAGTTTGAGATTATTAGGGCTTTAAACACAAGTCTGGAATGATAACATCAATTCAGATTCAGTACTTCTCAATGTGTGCATGGATTTTACATCATAGCTCACCCAGAAAAAGTCTTGGTTTATGAAACATCACAACTTCTTATTTCACCTGCTTCTCTTCCAGTTAAGATTGATGGCTGTGAGGACACATGAAAGTCTATGCCTGTGATCTGGTGAGTGCTTTTATTATCGACTGAACTGACTGAGACAAAGGAACATATGATGACTGAAATATTACTGTAAAGACGGTCCTGGGCCAGACAAAGTATCTGTTAAAAGCTGGTGGATATTGTCCAGATACAAAGTTCAGTTCAGTTGGACTCCCGTCTCTTTTTAACACCTTAGGATGGGGGGGGGGGGATACGAGGACAGGCTTGTGGGAAAAGGGTGGCAGGGTGCCTCAACCAGTCTGTTGTACCTGAAGTCATCCATCGCCCAGGCAACAAAACAAATCCCACTTTGTCGCAGTTACATTATAATTTCTAGGGGGCTTTGGCCACGCCTACCAACGCCGGCCTGAGGGTGCGGCCGTGCAGCTTGTAGCCCACCTTGGTTACTATGGCAACGCTGCCGGGCTCCTTGCCCTCCACGGGGGCGTGGAAGAGGGCCTCGTGCTCGTAGGGGTCGAACTTCTGGCCCTCGGGGTTGAGCTTCACCAGGCCGTGCTTAGTGAACACCTTCTGGATCTGGACCTCGGTCATCACCAGGCCGTCGTACAGGTTCTTCAGGTGAGGGTTCTGGCTCGTCACCTCCTCCTTGGGCACGCTCTCTGTGGCCTTCTCCAAGATGTCGGCCACCTCCAGCAGGTCTTTACAGAATCCCTGGATCCCTGTGACAGAAGGAAGTTAGAGAATTATTCACCTTTAAATGTCTGACTTTGCATAGTAAATGTTATGAGTGGCAATTACAAAGTTATGGCACATTTAATTCCCCAGTGTTCTCGAGTCAGCTGTGATAAAAGACATTGCCTTTAGGTGACCAGACTATCGGTTTTAGGGTTTAGGAATAAGGAGGCAGGTAAAATGCTAAGTAACTCCAGCAAAAAGGAATGAAACAGTTTATTCCGGAGCCCATGATAGACGTAGCTAAAGAGCGAGACATTTGGCTTCCTTCTCATCTCTGTTGAGAGCTGCACATGCTCAGTACCATTCGGGAACCCCCAAGAAAATGACACTGGGTAAAGCCAAAGTTTATGAGCTGAAGGGCAAGCAGTTGTCAGTTATCCTGGAAGAGAGTTTATTTATTAACTTTTGTATAAAAACATTTTTTATTTGTGAAATGCCAAAATGTAGCCTGGCAGTGGCACTAAGAGTAAAGTCAATGAATTAACTCTAATGTCGTTGAACACAAGTAGTTTGCTAACATTAGCCACCATGAACTACTGGTCATACCACATAGAACCATGCTGAACAAAACAAAAAACTTCTGAAGCCGTCATCAGAATCAGAGTTATGTGACATTTACATTACATTCTGGAAATACTGAAAACTACAAGTTACACTTCAAACCAAATAACTGTCAAATAACAAGAATGTACCAGAATATCATGTATGCATATTCAAATTGGAAAAAGGTCTCATTTGCTTTTATAAAAATCAAGTGCAAATACAAGTTTAACTTAACCAACAGCTGCACCACTGCATAAAGACACACAGTTTAGTCAAAATGCTAAAGTTGCCTTTTTGTGACATCTAGTGATTGGAACATACAACTGCAGAATATTTGACCGAGACCACAGTGAGGATGTTCTGCAGGATCTATCCGTGGTAAGGCCCGTATTAGGTAGTGGAAACTGGTCAAACGTGAAAAACTGGTCATTACCGTATAATTTAGCATCTTCCATCATCTTCTGACTCCTCGTCCTGAGGTTCTCTGTGTCTGCTAAGGCCCGCTTATACTTTTCCTGGAAAGATAGAAACAGAAAAATACATTTTAAAAAAATCAATGTCATCAACATTATATAATGAAGCTCTGGGCAACAAACTGTAATTGATTACCATTTCTGTTGAGTACTTTAGTATAGGTGCAATGATAAAAATGCCCCTCAATGTTAAAGCCCTTAAAGTCTAAGAGTCACTTAACAAACAGGTTAAGGGGAAATAAATATGTTTGGCTAATTCTTTGGACTACTGTCATATTAAAAGGTTAATATCAGAATAATGCAGTGAGAGGAGATGTAGTAATTCACTCCGTCTGAAGACTTACTGTCATGTCCTTGAGCTGCTCCTCCAGCTGGGTCTTCTCCTCCAACAGGGCTTTCTCTGCTGCGTTCTGCTCCGGCTTCTCGGCCTCCTCCTCTGACCTGCCATTCTTCTGCTGGGTGGCAGTACATAACAATCGTGGAGACGCTCTGGGTGGAAAGGATATATATAATAAAAGCTCATTCATTCAGTGTTGGTTGCTGCTCACTTTACCTGACTTAATTATGTTCCGGATCAATATTCAGCCCTGAGTAGCCTTTAGTGTAGGTGCTCTCGCTATCTGTTAATGTCAAACATTTCTCTGCTGTGTGTGTGAACTATTCCTCAGCTCACCTTAAAACTGACATTATCCACCTGTGAGCCTGTCTGAGCCTGAACACTCACCTGCACACAGATGTATGTAGCCAAATGAATGCAGCAATCTGTTAAGGTACATTTCCTACAGATAATTAATAACTGAGTCAATTTACTTAAAATAATACTGTAATTTCGATAGCTAATTAACTGTTTGGTTATTTTTTAAACTGAAATGGGTAAAGTTCACTGGTTCCAGACTCTCAAATGGGAATATTCTTTGATTTTCTGTCTTCCATGATAGTAAATTTCAGTTTTTGATTGCTGGAGAAAACAAAACATCTGAAGACATCACCATGGGATCTTTTCCTATTTTCTGACATTTTATAAACATTTTATATATTTCACCGACTGATTGTAATTTTTATGATTTAATACCAATTATTTTCTCAGTTAGTTACAGCCCTAATATTCCCAAGTTTTCAAATTCTGTTACATCTCCTTCTCCTCCAGCACTGTCTCAAGTTGCACTGAACGTTCCAAAAACAGCACTGCATTGATAGAGTGGGGTCAGTAGTGTCCTCGACTCTAAACTGTATGATTAAATACAGCTTTAAATATACAGACAGGTGGAAAAACCTCAATGAGTGGAGAAACAGTGAATGAGATGCTTTTATATGGGGCAGGAGGGCTCACTGAATGGCTGGTGGATTATGAAAATGATCCCCTCTGTAACTGCTGTACATTATTATTATTATTATTATTATTATTATTATTATTATTATTAGACTTTACTTCTCCAGAAGCAGGGGTATTTTGTTGTTTGTTCAGACCTACTAATTGATGCTATCAGACAGCTTAATTTACACTACTGCCAATTGTGCAACTGCCAGTAGTACTCACTAAGAATGTTACACAACTACCCTAGATGTCATTCAATGACATAAACCCACACTTACATATATAGTATATAACTTTGTTAATAACTTTTTGAGCAACATAGACAAACAAATACCCAACAATTAACCCCCACCCTGCAGCAAGGGGCCTAAACAGAACAAAATCAAGAAAGTAAGATTTACAAGAAAAATAAAAACACACACACACACACACACACAAAAAAAGGCAAAAAGAGGAGATATCCGCAATAGATACACGATACGTATAATTAGCAGATTTATGAATGGAGTTTGGTTTGGCTTTCGGTCACGTTAACAAATTCAACGAGTAATGAAACGCACTTAAACACTTAAATATCTGAGAACACACACACACACACACACACAACACACACACACACACACACACACACACACTCTACCATTAGTCAAACTCCACATAACATACAGCCTGAAGGTTAGCTTAGCATATTAAACTCACATCCCTCTTCATCATGTCCATCATCATTTAGGATGTGTCACGTTATGTCATCATCCTCTTTCTAGCAATGACCTGCTAACACTAACTGACACACACACACACACACACACACACACACACACACACACACACACACACACACACACACACACACACACACACACTAATAACAGCTCAGGTACGGTCTGTAGGATTCACAGGAAGGTCAATGGAAAGCACCACGGTCTGTTACGAAAGCTAACGATGCTAGCTGGCTGTAGCTGCTACCGCCGTCCCCTGTCTGTCAGGAGCTCCTCACCCTGCCAGAACAACAGCCACACTTCCGTTACAAATGTCACTACTGAAGTCTCTTACCTTATTAGCGCAGGCGAAGCTACAAGAGAGTAGCTCTGTCTCACTGCTCGTACACACAAGCTCGCCATTTTCCTCTGGGCACTGTGCATGTAAGAGCTCCTTGTAACACACGCTGACGGGACGCACAACACTGATGGCAGCAGCCTACGGTTTTAGCCAATCAGGAGTCAGTATGAAGGACGCCCGCTCCCAGTTGACCAATCAGATTCAGGGAAGCGTATTTGACAACGAGTTGTAGTTTGGTAGAGCTGAAGTTAAAGGTGAAAGGTGCACATGTGACCAAGGACGGTTTTTAAAAAAGCCTCATCACCAATCAGCTGACTCATCCGTTGGTTATTCAACTCAAACTGTTTGCTAGTGAATATTCAGACCTTTAATGTTCTCCTGGTGGGTCATCTGTTAACTAGTGTTGTAGTATTTGGTCCCTTGGTACAGAGCATTAAAGCTGCTGCATTAAACTATTAGCAACAACATACAATGGTTAGAAAAAGCCCTTTAAGAACATTGTCTGTTGTGACATGCAGCAGACACAGCAACATAAGCATTCATTTGGAGCCATGTCTCCGGCCAACTGACAGATGTGAGTGTAATGTTCACCCTCCTTTAAGTGTGACACATATTTTGTCTCTGCAGCAGCTAAATGCTCCCCTTTCTTCACCGTACTGTGTCTGACTGCTGTTGGGTGTTGGGCAGGTAGTGCACAGTGGGTTTATGTGCTGCAGCTGGAAACAAAGAACCTAAAAAAAGAAGAAGAAAAAAAAGCCCAGTAGATTTAACCCCAGTTTGGTTCTCTACATGGAATCACTGAGCTGAAGTTTTTCAACTTATTGTCACCTTTGGAATGAATTTGCTAATCCAGGTAGTCAGAAACTATGCATGTCCTCGCATGTGTACAGTAAACTGATAAAACATTGTACATGTGTCATTTCCAGCTACCACCTTTCTTAGGATTAGAAAATAAAGTAAATGTTGTTAAATGACCTCCTGGGTTTGCATTCAGGAGAACGGATGCTTAACTCACATGTAATGATAATATTGAGCTACATGAGAGGCACAGACTGGGGCTCGGCTGGGTTGTAATTCTCTGTGGGTTTGTCACTACAAGCAACTCCTTTCACATTACACATAATAATTTCACTCCTCGGTGCAGGGAGATGCTAAATGTTTCAGTGTGCTAATGGGGTTTGGAACCAGACTGAGTTCTATGAAGGTTGCATCAAGTTCTAATGCTGCACTAGAATAGATTGAGAATGAAAATGGGTAAATTGTAGTGACAATGTGAAGAAGGTGGTCCAGACAAAGACATACGGTAACTATGTTAGGGGGACACGCAAAATACCACACAGGCTGCATTATATACTGTTCTTAAGAGGCAAGCTAGGCTAAAACACACACACACACACACACAGACATATATTTGGGCAATGCCCAAAGATACTGAAATTTTAGAGGTAAGTGAAAGATGGAACCATAATTGGTCATGATTTGGAGTTATCACCCCTTCAGTGTATACTGGCAGCTAATGTGAACACTGAAAAAAAATGGCCACGATGCCAAACTAATTTGGAATATTTACAGCATGAAGGACTTCTTAAACTTTGGATTTTTAAAGCCGCTCCTTCAGTAGCTACAATTATTGGCACTTATGCCTTCAATTAAAAACTGGATGACAGCGTCTGTTAATAGCGCTCTTGTTTTGTCCAGTTATTCTATTTTAGTCTCCACGCAGAAAATTTTAAAATAACTTCTTGGGCACAAGAGGGGATCTAAGGCAGTGGTGGAGTGTAGCTGAGTACATTTACTCGAGTACTTTACTTAAACACAGGTTTAAAATACTTTATTTGAGTCTTTTCTTTATCTACTTCTACTTCAGTCTGGAGGGAAATATTGTAATATTCAATCCACTACATTTATTTGACGGATTTAGTTACTTTACAAATTAAGATTTTAAGTGTTTGTCATAAATTAAAATATCCATAATATGCAGTATATTGATTAGTCAATGTAATTATTCTGAATAATTGTGCATCAGATGACTCTACAATGAAAATGTTCATTAGTTGCAGTCCTATAGATAAAAATTAAAAATAAGCTCCACCTCAACCAACTGTAACAGTCAAATCCTGCTTTTATATGAATGCATGACTCATTATAATAGTGATAATAATAATGATCATATATAATAGTATTACAGTCACAGGGGACATCTTTCTGCATTGAGTACTTTTAATGCTTTAGGTACATTTTCATGGTTATACTTACGTACTCTAAGTAACATGCAAGCCTTTTACTTGTAACAAAGTATTTTACAGTGTGGTTTTAGTACTTTTACTTAAGTAAAGGATTTAAATACTTCCTCCATCACTGGTCTAAGGTGTTTAGGAGAGCATATAGAGGATATAATTTGAGTTTTTTTTAGAGCAGTCACAACAGATGAAGCAGAACTGACACAGGATGCTGGTTAGGACTTGAACTCCACCTGGGAACTGTAATATGTGTGTGTGTGCTGATATGTGAGTTGTGACAGTCAGATTGCCTGTAGCAGCCCTTTGAGCCCTTTGAGCGACACTCCGAGTTACAGCCCGTTCATTCACAGACGTGTTGCGTTGTGTTTCTCTCTGCTTCGCGTCAGCTAATCAGCCTCACCGTGGATGAAAAGAAACCTTGCATCATCTTTCTCTCCCTCTTTTCCTGTCACACACACACACACACACACACACACACACACACACTCACTCCAATCTCCTTTTCATTTCCCATCTCTCTCTCTCTCTCTTTCTTGTCCTTTCTTTCAGTGCACATCTGACAAGGCGGAGCTAATTGATAAGCATGCCATTTCTCTGTGCTCCTTCCCGGCCCTGCGACTCCACCTGTTCACACATCTCAGTCGCTGGCTCAATGGGGGAAAAAAGGGAGGAGGTAAATTACTCCTTCATTTTGCAGTAAGCGGAGCAGACAGGTTGGCACTTCCTCATTAGGAGGACGTTTGTTTCATGAGGTGAGGCATGGATCTCTCTTGTTTCTGCTTTGATGAGGTCTCTGAGTCAGACTTTGATGTCTGTCATTAATGAACATCTTAAAAGACTTCTGATTCGTGCCTAAGGGGAAAAGGACTCGGGCAACGTGGTAGTTACAAAAGCGTACAAGCATCCTCTGTCTCAGACTGGCACTGTTTGATAAAAACTCTAACTCCAGCGTTTGTTTACGCCTCTTGACCGCAAGTTGAAGCCTTTTCAAGGGAATGTTTTCATGTTGTTTTTATAACCAGGTTTGATTTGAATTCGAAATCTGTTATTGAAGGGAGACAACATGGGGAACACAATTCAGACTGTGAACAGTCGCATAATGTCTTCTGTGGTTTTCGAAGAGCTTTGTCAAGTCAAGAAAACAATCTGCTGATGTTATCATGGTTCTCTCAACAGAGACTATTCTACAAACTGATGGAGTAGAGCAGCTCTGTGTAGAGTTTGACACTAGGAGGATGTATTCTTACATTCAACTGCTGAAAGTGGAAAACTAAGCCACTGATGAAGTGTGCTGGTTCAGAATCACTAGTCACTTGCAATCGTATGTCTGGCTGGCTGCCAAAACTCATGTCATTGGCAATGGCTTGACTCCTCCTTGAACCTCTTTGGGCTCAGTCTTGACTCGTTCTCGACTGGTCCTGGTCTTGGACTCGACAAAGGTGGTCTTGAGTACAGCACTGGTGCCGCCCCAGCAGAAATGCACACATCAAGTCAACACTAGCTTTCCCCTCCTCCGTAAATGGATGTAAAGATTGTGCAGAGGACGGATTCCACACAGGGGAGGCTGCCCCACGCTGCCAATATTGAGACTTTTAGCAACTCTCCTCCACTCTTAATATTTGTGTTCTTAATACGAGGTGGCGTCAGTGTGATACTTCTGCATATGTCCATGTGGTAGAGACGGCGCACACACAATCACAAACTATACATAAACTTTTTTATCATCACACAAGAAAATATTTGGTTGATTTCACCTCAAGGTCCATTTCTTGAGGTGAAGCTTTGGACCATATCATATTATCTTCAGCAGATGTTCTCAGATCCTGTTGTCATGGAATTCAATGTTTTTTCTGACTTTATGTCTGTGTTGGCTTAAAAGTTGAGTTTGTAACTTCATTCATGACCTTATAAATCTTTACTTCTTGCTAATGTTAGTTATCATTTTAAGCTAATTTTCTCTCCTATGCTTGGTGCTGCTGTTACATAAGTGTAAGAGTTAATTAGAGTTGTTTGTGAGGATTTCTGTGCATTCTTCAGTAGCTTATATAAAAAAAACAACTCAAAAAAGCCCAAACTACACTTTCACCAGTGATGTCTTACTTGAAAACAAGAATATGTTTGAAAACACTCCTGTGAAAGGTCTAATCCCAATTTACCTCACTGACCCTATCCTTAATTCAGCCTCTTGCCACCAATGTTTGGCTGGGGACGTGTTTGTTGGGTGCTTATCTGGGTTAAGGATTTAGTCCTTATGAATAGTCATTGTGAGCTCTCAGCCTTGGGGATGGAGCGGCAGACAGAGCTGTCTGTTTGTTTACCAGAGACGCTGAACCAACTTGCCTCTAAAACCCAATGTCATATAAAAGCGGGGAGGAGGAGGAGGAGGAGGAGGAGGGTGGTGGACGGATGGCAGACAAAATGAGTGAGGGGCACAGACACCGATGGAGAGGAAAAAATCACATCAAAGCCTGCTTGTAATGGAAGAAAGGTTGAGAGCGGCTGGGTGGATACAGATTGTTTGAAAGTTTTTTTTTTCTTACCACGCAAACTAGAAGACAACATATTCAAGGTTGTTCAATTATTCATGTTCGGGGATCTTCTCCAAGCCCTTTGCCTTCTCATCCAACAAGACTAACAAGACCTTCACAGTATTACCAGGAGGATGTTTGTTTACATGGATCAGATTCAGAGCAGGAAAATAGCTCACTGGGGTCAGATGATTGCCACTGCTTTTGAAGGGCAGGGTGGGCAGACCACCAGCAGGGGGCACTCAGAACACACCTTTTAAGGAGTAGCCCTGGATCGGTTCAGCTGGTATGAGTGAGACATAGCAGGAGGAATACATGCAATAAACAACAGAGCCCGGAGGGAGGCTTTCTCAGTGTTCGTGACGCGCACAAAATAGG